ATGGGAAAGCGAAAATATAAATCTGTTCGAATTTCATTATCAATGAAGTCAAATGAAACTACAAAGGGAAGATCAGCTATAAGTGTTATGCCAAAGTGCCCAATTCCAAAATTATTGCCATATGACAAGCTTGTGAAAGAAATAAACGAAATTGAGATTGGAAATGTGTACAGGTTCGATGAAGAGTTTCCAGGGGCAATCGGAGATGAACTTACTCAAGGTTGTTTTCGAAAGTTAGTTGAGTACTTGCCACGCCTGGCAAAATTCTACCTCAGAAAAGATAGAAAGGAAGCCCTTCTGTGGTTTGGCAAAACTGAAGGCACTTTTTTAATTGCTGTGGGTGGGGATGGTTGCCCATTCGGAAAGAATGAGTCAGCTTGTTCTTTTTTGTTAAGTTTCATGAATGTAGGTAAACGAGTTGCATCGAGCAATGACAACTTTATTATTTTTGGTGGAAATTGTGAGGAAACATCACTTGTTGTGCGTAAGTATTGTCAGTTCTTGTGCAAAGAAATTTGTGAGATAGAAAACAAAGTCTTTGAAATTGAGGGCCTTCATGTTACATTCAAATGTGCCGAGTTACCTAATGACATGAAAATGTTGGCCATGTTAGGTGGTGAACTATCTAACAGTGCAAAATATTTCTCGTCCTTTGCAAATGTGTCAAAAGACAACTGCACAGACCTGAAGGGGACATTTGCAACTGATAGCACAAGCTTATGGCATCCATGGAAATATGAGGACAGAATTAAAATTGCAAATGAGGTTGAGAAATTTAAAAAAACCTTGTCTGAGAAACAGCTAAAGGAAAAGCAATTTCGTAGCAAAGTCACTGAATTTATAGCGCGTAAAAAAAGTAGACAAGAGTTTGTTCCCTTAATTGGCAAATTGATTGACCATGCCCACGTGGAACCTTTACATGTTAAGAACAACGCATGGCAATATTTCTTCAAAGAAGTGTTAAAAGAGGCACTTGCAAAATCAAATATTGCAGACAGCTGCAAAAAGTTCTCAGACATCCCCAATGACAGCATAATCTCAAGGGTTGTGACTGCACTACAGTTTGAGGTGAAAGCCAAATGTTTGGCAAGGAAAGTAAAAAACTGGTTTGATGAGACACAAGGAAAGGGTAAAGATCTCCAGTACAGATTCACTGGGAAAGATTCGAGGCTACTTTGCCACAATTTTATGAGACTAATTAGATGGCTTAGTGGAGAAAATGATTCTGAGCATCAAAGAACAACATTATTAGTTCTTGCATATCTTGGACTGAGACTAAGGGATTGTGTTTCACTATTCAGCAGGTTTGAGATTTCAGTAGAACAGCTCACTCAATTAAGTGTTGCTGCTTGTGAATATTACCGGGTAAATGCTTTGTTCCTGTCTTCTTCCGTAAATCCAACCGTGTGGACTATTGGACACATTATTCCTGCCCACACAAAAGATGTACATGAGAAATATGGGCAAGGCCTTGGGATTGTAACTATGGAAGGGAGGGAGGCTAAGCACATTGCTTTAAAAAAACTCAGTGAGAATACTTTCTTTCACAGACGCTGGTATGAGATATTTAAGCATGAGTTTGTAATGCTGGTATGGCTTCCTGAACAAGGGTTTGATCTTAGTACATATAAGCACAATGGTATATACATACCAAACAGGGTTTTCTCTGACACAAGGTTCTGTTATTGCAACCTAGAAAAAACTGATGCCAGTGATGAAAAATGTTCATTCTGTGGAGATCCAATTATGGCACTCATCCAACAGAGTGTTGAGCAGGGGAAACTTTTGCCCCAAATTGCCCATCAAGTATCTGCGTCCTCTTCGCAATCAAGTGGACAATTTCATGCTTTTCGAAAGTGAAGTTGAGAAAATGATATCCCGTTTGTTTGAAAAATATGGAAGCAATCAAAATTCAATTGAAAGGGTACGAAATTCGCCCATCAAGTATCTTTAGAGCCCTGACAGAATGTTTGTAAACACCCTTACATTAATATTTATTTGTAAAAAAGAGTATACTTGTACCTTTTAAAGCAAAGGAGAACTATTTATTTGAGGCAATTTTATTAAGTTAACAACTTTGTATTTCTGAAAGTACAGGTACAATTTTTGTACTTTTATTTATGGATAATATAAACGTTTAAAGTACATGTATAGTTTGCATTTCAGCCATCTCCCTGAGCAATTCACTCCCAAAGTGAGACATCTCTAATAGGATATTGTGACTCAACTCATTTATTTTTCTCTTTTAGCTACTGATTGAAGCATTTAGGTACTTTATCCTGGGAGGCACACCAGGACACAAAGTCCCTTACTAAGACTTGATCGAGACAGCTGAAATTCAGGCTAACATTAAACCCGTTACAGCACAATTTAATTTATACATTTATAGTTATGGGTCAGCCAATTCCAAGCGTGGTCATCGTCCCTCCCTGCGGCATTTCTCATCTTTTCCTCAGAGAGCTGCAAAAGCCCCACAGTGGGGCCAGCAAATTTTTAGAAAACCTGACCACGAGGCTTAAAAATATGTCAACAATGTCCCACAATATACTATTTGGAAAGTTTCACAAATTTTACTGTTAAATAAAGTTTACAAAAAAGCTTTCCTTTTTAAAAATTGCAGAAAATATGAAAATCAGTAATAACAACAGTCCTGCTCCCGGGCGGAATATTGATGACAAATGCCCCACTGTGGGAAAACCAGACTTGACGAATGCCCGGAAGGGAAGATCACGCTTGGAATTGACTGAGCCATCAGGGCAATAAATTGTACTTTTCATGGCTCATAATGAGAATTTTGTAACAAAACGTTTTTGAAACAGACATTTAACCTGTTAAAGCACAACTTACTGAACACAGTGCTGTTTATGATAACACAGTTGATGTAGGCTCATAATGAGCAGTTGTTAAAAAGTGTTATATTAAATGTTTTTAACTCTCAAAAGTGTAACCAAACTCGTTTATATATTGATAGTGGCATTTCATCAGCACGTATGACTCCCTTTTGAAGTAAGATATGGTAAAGGGTTTTGAAGCTGTTACAGTAACTCTCGCTTCTCCTTTCCTGGCTCCTTTCCATTGCTTTGAAAAATATCCCATAACTGCATTCCGGGAAACGTCGCAAAGTCTAGACAAATCTCTGATGAGTCTATTCTCTTCAGTGTACACAATGCAATCTGACCTACGGCTTTCTGAGTGGGTCACCCCATAGCTCGACCGTGCTTTCTTTATGATCTCCATAATGAAACCGAAAACGTTTGCTGGCAAATCCCTTGTTACTACCACAGTCCATGGATCACGAGCTTTCTTGCGAGGAGAGAGCCTTCTGTGTAATTTTTTCAGCCATAACATAACTTCTTGTTCGATGACCAAGCCAACTTCAAGCAACGAATTTCGTACCCTTTCGATTGAATTTTGATTGCTTCGATATTTCTCAAACAAACGGGATATCATTTTCTCAACTTCACTTTCGAAAAGGATAAAATTGTCCACTCGATTGCGAAGAGGACGCAGGGCTCTCGTGGCTGAAATGATTTCTGCTTTGGCGGCCATATTAGATCAAAGGTGTATACCGCTGGCGGAACTTGAAATTACAGCGGGCGCCAAATTGCACTTTTGAGCAGCGCGCGGGCCCAGCGTGTTCAACAAGTCATGATCATTCTCACCTGCACCTTTTTCTCGATCAAATTAAGAACAAAATCCTTTCCTAACAATGAAAACTACTGATCACAGATATGCAAAAATTTACCATTTTACTGACTCACTGTACGCCAATGAATGAGATGTGAGTCTCCAAAGTTTTTTCTTGTTTTATGTTTTTTCGTTTTTAAGATCAGAAATGCTAAGAGAGAGGCTTTACTATGACAAATTACAAGTTTTTCGCAAGTCACACAAACTTCAGACAACGTATGTACTAGAAGTGAATATTTCAAAACGCACCAAATTTTCGCCACTACATAAACTACATGAGAGAGAGTCAGGCTTTTGTCACATAGATTTATAGGATCACGTTATGAACAATATAAATTAAACAGCCATTGGTTATGATTGCCTTTGGATACTATCGGCAAATCATAAATAAACATTTTCCACCCATGGATCCCAGAAATCCTTGCGACAGCTTGTACCTATTCTTCCCATAGTTCATTTAGGGAGTGGCGAGGCACTGATTTCTAATAATACACTTTGTTTGGTCTCCTCCGGTCCCACCTCCATTTTAGGCCATGATAAATATCCCGACAACCTTCAGGATAAGGGAAAGAGCTAATAATAAGAGGAAGCTATAATTGTAAAAAAATATATTAAGTAAATTTAAGCTTCTTACTTCTGATTTTCTGCTTCTCCAAGTTCCATTGTTCAATATCTAAAAAATTAACAATAACTACAGGTGAAGGTAAAGAATGTACTAAACATCAGAGACCGACGAGAACGAGAACGCCAAAAGAGGCCGGTTGATATAGGTTTATTAAATAAGCAAGTTAACAAAAACTAACAACTTTGCTTGTCAAAGCATCACGCTTTTCTCCATTTCATTGTTGTACCTGCACCACTACGAAGTTAAGCGAAATGACCAAATTTTAAGGTTATTATCTATTTCCGAATCCCCCATAATACTATCTGTTTGTCACCCCCACCTCCCCCCCCCCACCCCAACCACCCAAAAAATTGCATAAACCATCGTTTTCAAATGCCTCTGAGAGGATTGTATATTCCCGGTCAAGGTTTTCAAAACACTAACTGACCGGCAGTCTTGTCTTTTCTGTACATTTCACAAATCGAAAAAAACAGCAAATTTAAACTATCATATGTTGATGAAGAAAAGTCAAACGATTCTGAAACGATTTATAGGTCTCAAGTTTAGCGTTTGGTTTACGCTCAGGGCTCAGAAAACGAAACCATGTTTTGTGACTCTTACAACTTTTTTTCAGGTCGACTGTCGGTCAAGATTTTCAAAACACTAATGACCGGCAGTAGGAAAGAGGAAAGAGGAAAGAGGAAAGAGGAAAGAGGAAAGAGGAAAGAGGAAAGAGGAAAGAGGAAAGAGGAAAGAGGAAAGAGGAAAGAGGATAGAGGATAGAGGAAAGAGGAAAGAGGAAGGAGGAAGGAGGAAAGAGAAAAGAGGAAGAGAAAGCTGAAAAAAGTTCTAAGTGTCACAAAACATGGTTTCGTTTTCTGAGCCCAGCGTAAACCGAACGGGTCCAAACGCTTAACTTGACTATAGAGCGTTTCAGGATCGCTTGACTTTCCTTAATCGACGTATGATAGTTTAGATTAGCTGGATTTTTTTGATTTGTCAAATTTACTGAGAATATAGGACTGCCGGTGAGTTAGTGTTTTAAAAACCTAGACCGGTAGTCGACCTGAAAAAAGTTATGTGTCACAAAACATGGTTTCGTTTTTCTGAGCGTAAACCAAACGCTTTTCTTGAGATCTATAAAGCATTTCAGGAGCGCTTGACTTTTCTTTTCTTATGATAGTTTGGGTTGGTTGGGATTCTTAGATAAGTCAAATTTATTGAAAATACTAGACTGCCAGTTATTTAGTGTTTTGAAAACCTTGACCGGTTACCGGCGATATAGCCACAGCGTTCAAATTTCTTTCTAGTGGCGCAATGAATGATTTACGAATTGAATTCTGAATAATTCTCCCGTGATAATTCTTCATCCATTTGCGCATAAACAACAGTCGAGAGGTTCAATGCTCTAATGTTTAGAGACCGTGAGACAAGAATTATTCATACAATTGTTAAGACACCAAGGTCAAGGAATGAGTATTCACAGTATTAATTCACTATATGTAATGGAATCTTGAGGGGCCGGGTATGCTTGACCTTTGCTTGACCGAGGAGCGGCGCTATCACTTCTAAAACACCTCGAGAAACCCCTCGGCGGGTGAAACTAGAAACTTGAGCCGAAAAAACCGGATGCTCTCGCAGGCTAACTCACGCTAGGCGGGGGGTAACTAAATCAGGGCTTTCTCACTATTTTCCAGAACATCTTGCAGAAAAACGGGTTTACGAAAACGATACCTCTTTCTGTCACTATTTTCGAATTAACTATATTTTTTTGTGTTTACTTAAATTGGACGTTTTTGTAAATGATGGTATTATCTAGGGAGAGAAATGTGAAAACTAGTTATCTAGAACTTTTTGCCCCCTCTAGAAATTCCATATCTAGGTCTGGCATTTCTACTGAGGCAGTATTTGTTTCTTCGGAAAGTTATTTTAGAGAATTTCTTGGCTCGGTCCCAGGGAAACTCGCATAGACTGTCAGCTTTGCATTTTCACTGGAAAAGTGAACTGTATAATATAACAGTCTATTGGAGGTCATATTTAATACATGTCACGATCGAAAGAAATGGCTTTTTGCGCAATGCTTTCATATCACAAGTGGACATGGATATATCATCATATCGATACGATGGACTGGACTTTTTTAATTAATAGATCTTTCTGCCAACAACGAATTAGGTCAAGTGGTCAGGGGTTCAGACTGGTTCAGATAGTCGTTCAGATAAGGAATAACATCACTAAACGCACTTTAATTTCAGCCGCAATTTGTCACTTCTCAGGAGTTACATCATACTTCTCAGGAGTTACATCATACTTTACTCAGACGAGGAACGGAGTGACTGAGATGACCCTTCTCGTTTCAGCGGAATAACATATGATACTAAGGCCTGTTTCAAACGTCGTGCTACTGCCGTGCTAAGCTGGTGCGACTGTAGCTCGACTGCAGCACGACATTAGCACGACTTGGTTCCAGACGTCGAACTTAATGCAGTCGAATAGAACGGCTGTTGCCGAAAACAAAACACAAAGATAAAGACACGGTTTGGCAAACTTTTAAATGTATTCTAATGTATTTATAATTTATGAATTGAGTTCGGCACGGCAGTAGCACGACGTTTGAAACGGGCCTAATCGGTACCCAGTACTGCACGTCTATTATTAAACTTGAAGTTCGGGATTGTTTCTCGCTTTCATTCAGTTTCCATTCGCGCAACATGCACTACGTAACACGCCGAACTATCAGAGTACCCTGCCACATATACCTGACAGCTTTAAAGGACGAGAGATAGCACAAAAGGCACCTCTGTTATCAGCTGTGTTATCCAACGATCGAGGTAAACTAAAGTAAGTGGCTGGGTATTCTAAAGTCTAGCCATTACTACGACTTGTGGCTACATTTATATGGCTTGAAGTTTTATCAAATCCAGCCCAGTAGATTAAAAACAACGCCAGATAAAGTAGCATTAATTTCTGGAAAGTGAACAATAACAACATTCGACTCTCACAGTGCCGCACGCATTGAATATTTTCGCAATTGAAATCCGATTGGAAACTCACTGAAGTTTAGAAGACGTTCGCTGATGACGGAGTATCTTACCTTCAACTGAGTGTCTCAGGGATTTCGCTGCAATGGTCTTCGTTTCTCCCCTAATTGCCGTTGTAGTCAGTTGGCAAACCTAGCTACAATTGTAGTAGTGGTAACGTGCTGGTCTGCAGCAACCCCGGAACAACAACAAACCACGAGTGCTTCTGACATTCAATATCACTGTAGTATTTCAGTTTGGGATCTGTACGAAGTCACGCTACTAAGGAGGTGACAAGAATGAGGAAAATTCGGGAGGTGCACAGGGAGCCCTATGACAATACTCTAATAAACCAGGGGAACTAGACTGCGAGCAGTCTCTTACTTTTCTTTGCAAAGTTACTGCACGAAACCTAAGCACGCGAGCGGCGAAACCGCTTGCCGCGAGAAACGAGGGCGTAACGTCTCAGTCCCTGTAACTAGACGGATTTTAAGAGAAAAGGAGGACTGTAACACGTCTGCAGGGAAACGGAAAAATATTTAGGGTCCTGAGTTGGTTATACCGGTTGTAGCTGTATAACCTGGCCTCCCAGGTAGGGTACTAGGAAACTGGACACTAAAGCAGAAGGAAAATGGTAGACGGGTATTTGTAAACTGTAAATAAATTGTAGATATCTGAAACAGGAAATTCCTTCAGGGTTTATCAGGAATAATTTATACAACAGTGGTTGTGCGACTTTTGCTAGGATTAATAAAGCAAACAGCAGAGGCCTAGTAGAGAGTCAATGTGAACGTGATTATTAACCTAGTGGCAGATGTAGTGGGCTCAGAAAAGTTTGAATTATTTTGTCTTCGGCAGATTGAGAGGCTACTTAATACTATGTCTCGGTTTGGTTAAGTCTCGCGGCGGAGATTTTTAGACTAATCCGAAGTCTAAGAGAATGCTTTGTGCAAGATCAAATTTACATCCGCCAGGTTTAGTAGTGTAAACAATTCTTTCAACGCAACCGAATCAGCGTGCAAAGAAAGTTGTGTCCAATAGCCCGGGGCTAGTGGATTTTGCTACCAGGTTAGTGAATTCTGTTTTTAATTTGCCCGATGGGCAAGCGAAGTTTTCTGGGAAATTCAAATAGTAGAAGAACTGTAGTCAATCCTGCTCATCGAAACTTTTTTTTGCGCGGGTTAAAATGACTCTGGGCTGGTAAAACTGACTTTCTTTTCACCCTGATCTGTATACTTTTTCGCCTGCGATCATGCCAAAGAGAGCTTGTTACAGGCGTTTAGATAGTGGTAGGCTATTCACTGACCACCTGTTTTCTCTCGAGTCGTCGAGCGCAGAAGAAAAGAATACAAAGGAAAACGAAAACAGAGTAATTCAAGACATGAGTTCCATTTTATTTCAGGATTTGAGGCAAACTGACGATCACGATGTATTTCATGTAACATCAAATAAAACTGTGACATTGTACCTGCCTATTAAATTTCACATATGAGGCCACATTCCACATGAATGCAAGCAATCGCGCAAAGGAGGGTAGCACTTTACAAGGCTTTTAGAGGACTCAGTTAGTCACACTTGTTAAGACCAAACATTGTTTTTTACAAAACGAACCAAAAGCGTGGAGCGATGTTACCTATAGCCTTATTACCGCACCATCGTCCGCAATCGTGTCGATCGCCTTGTGGAATGATTGTGCCTGGATCGATCGAAATAATCCAAACGAAATCAGCCGATGTATTAACAGATATGATACTTCAATCAAGATCGTCCCGCATAGCATGCAGCTCGTGGTGCCACTTGATTTTGAACATTGTGACTTTCTTTCTATGGTAGACAAGAGTACAGACCATGGAAAATTGGCCTCAATTTGTTTACTCGATCGTCTGCACACATTTTCAGACATTTTGAGACGACTGGCGCCATTGAGGCGATCAGGCTTAAGGCAACAAGAGGTGTGTGTATGGAAACTCACGTCACGTTTAATAACAAATATCGATAAACGTAACGAGAGTTTTTCACTCCTAGAGTTGATGTACTGTGCAATTATCCGCGTCAGTTATATTCACGTTACCACAATAACGTTGTCATAGAAAAATGAAGGGAAAATGCGACGGATGTAGCAAATGCATGCACCCTATAGTGGTAAGCGTTTAATTAACTTTAAATTAATTCCTTTTTAGCTTTTTACTTCTTTCATTTTTCCTTTTAGCATTTTTCTCTGACTGCGTTAAAAATGATATAATTAGGTCTATGACTCAGTAAAAAGAACGATTCCAAACAACTCCTCTTGATCACTATATAAAAACCCCGTGACCTCAAAAACAGTGCGTAAGAGTGGAATATGCTTCGTGCTTAAAAATAAATTGAAAAAGCTATCCACCGACACTCCATTTGTACACTCCCCCACCCCAGTCACTTCCCCTACACAGTGATATTAATATCTCAGTGAACAACGCCGACATTCAAGCCGTTTTTAAGCGTCATATTAATAAACTGCTGTCGCAGTTTCTCTCGAAGTTTGAGTCGCTGTTGAGAGACAGACGAGTGATTGGCCTTGAACCGGAGAATTTCCTGCTCTGATATACAAAGGTCTTCCTCGGAAGAAACATAACCCTGAGAAAAGACATGAACAAAAATGAAGTTAATCACTTGTTTTTGCAGAAAACATAACTTAGCCTGCAGAACAGGCGTTTTTTTTTTTTTTTTTTTTAAAAAAAGGGCGACCTAAAGGCACATTCATCGCGGCTGCCATCATAAAAGCAACTAAACTCTCCCTTAGAGTGTTTTTTGACTCGCTCCAACTCTGTCAGTTTCAACGTCAAATCATTCGCTCCGTAACATACGCCTGCTTTGCAGGCTAAATATAACTTGACTGTTGCCCTTGTGATCTCCTTACGTCTCGTTTCTTCGATGTGTAAGTTCACAAAGAAACATTCCGGGACCCAGTGGGCAATTGTAACAACTATTGTTACAAATGGCCGGTGTACAAACAACCTGTCATGTAACAGAGTCTACCTTGTACTCCTCTAGAAATCAAATGTAACCTATGGTCAGGTCGGAAGGAGACCTTTAAAGGAGCGGTGTCACGAAATGTATCGATATTCAAACAGTGGAAACTACCACCAAATAAAACATAAAAATAACTGCTCACAATAACGAAAGAAGGTATAAATAACACAGCATACTGTATAAACAAGAAGGTACGGATGGAAAAATTTGAACGGATTAAAACGGGATTCCGATAGCGGTTTTTGAAAACATGTTAACAGTTTTTCAAAGCTCATTACTGTTGCTTGTGATTTTTGACACAATGCTTAAGAGACATTTGTAAAAAGACGAACTCTCCTTTCACACCTCTCGTGGCCTGCAAACACAGGCTTATTTGATACATTTTCGGCGGAGAGGGACGACAGCCAGAATTACGAATACGCCTACGTCATTCGCCGCCTCTCCCGCCTCGCGCACCAGACGCGCGCGTGGTTATTTTTCCCTCACACGCGTTTCGCTTGACGGATAGCTTGCGTAGCATTGGGAGCACTACTGAGCGGCGAAGCCCCAACCTCCTCGCGATTTCTCGGCCTCCGCCCGCCAGACCGCCCACCTATATTACTTAGCGCGCCCAACCAAAACCGCCATACTACGCAGGCTATTTGACGGACGGAGTCGTTTAAAATTACTCAGAAACTACTTAACTATCGGTCACAACGATCGCTTACCGGTGACCCTGTTCCACCATCTTGCCACCCCATTAATTTCAACAGCCGTTTTTCTTCATCATCAATACGCTCTGGAGGTTTCTCTTGTTTCTCGTGAGTTGGAGAATTTTGCTACAAAGAAGCAAGCGAGGTCGTTCAATTACAAATTAGCTACACAGTTAACTCTCACACCAGTGCTTATCCTAGCCCCCATATCCAAATGAAAATCAGCAATCATGCCAATAAACAAATAAACAATCAATGCCAATACCTACACAGGTAGCCCATGCTCGAAATATAAGCATCGGCGAACATCGACATTGTTGCACAACATTTGAAATATAAGGATTTGTATGGAAAATAAAACCTATCGTTTCCGTAACCTACGAAAATGAAAGGGTTTCAATAAAAAACAGCTTACCTTACATAAAATGTGTGTTTACGTCTCTCCAGTGTGGTCCATGGGCCGATTTATGGCCGTTTAATGGGTTGTAGTGTAAACGGAAACAGTTTACCGTACAACCCCTAAAACGACCATAAATCGGCCCATGGACCACCCAGGAGAGACGTAACACACATTTTATGTAAGGTAAGCGGTTTTTTTTTATTGAAATCCTTTCATTTTCGTAGGTTACGGAAACGATAGGTTTTTTTCCCATACAAATCCTTATATTTCGAAATCAATGTTACGCAACAATGCCGATGTTCGCCAATGCTCATATTTCGAGCTTGGGCTCCATGTGATAACTACAGTACATTTTGCGACAGTACATGTCCTCTTAAACAGTTGGCTTGAAATTAAAAAAATGTTTGTTTGTTTGTCGGTACACACTAGGCGACAAGTTGCAGCAACACGTCGCGGCGACTGATTACTCCATGTGTACAGGTCGGGCGACTAGTTGCAGCAGCATGTCGCTGCGACGTGTGGCCGCGACAAATCGCTTCGTGTGTGGTGGAGAATTTTTGTGAAAATCTTTGTCTCCGCAACAGAAGTTTTTCGCTGCAACAAGTCGCAAAAAAAATTTGCGGCGACAAAATTCTGTTGCAGCGACAAAGATTTTCACAAAACTCTCCAGCACACACGAAGCGATTTGTCGCTGCAACGCGTCGCCGCGACATGTTGCTGCAACTTGCCGCCTAGTGTGTACCGACCTTAACCCTTCCAGTACTTCCAAGATGTGTGGCACTGTCGTAATAGACTCGGTAACCCTTTTCCGAGAGGAAGCGTACATGCTCACTTGTTTAGGTTTTGTTAGTAACTGAAAAATGACTCAAATAATTTCTAACCTTCTTCTCTTTATTCTTGCTCTTCTTTCTTCTGCTTTTCCCATTACTGCATTGAGGGGATCCTCCACTGCTGGGGCTCCCAGATAACTGACAATCAGAACATGAATCTTCATCTTCAGCCCCTACTCCACAAGGATCTTTCGTATGACTAACCTGATGAAGTCCTCCAGACCATTTATTGAGCTCTGCCACATATCTGTGGGGACCGACAAACACAGACGTTATGACATCTTCTCTTAATCATGAAAAACACCTAAATTACAGCAGGCTACAAGAAGAAGACTCCTTTAGACTGCACGGAGGCTAAATTATATTATTAAAAACTGAATCATTGGAAAATGCAATTCTAGAGCTCTGGGCCCAGTTGTTCGAAGGCTGATTAGCGCTTATCCCGGGGTTAAATTTAACCCGAGTTTCTGTTTCTTTTTTTCAAAAGGATTTTCTCGGTTAATTTTCTCTGTTATTTTTGGAGCTTCCAATCGTCAACTTGTGGACAAAAAGAATTAAAACTGAAAAGCTTTTTAAGCTTTCAAATTTGAATTCAAATCTCGCACTAACCCTGGGTTATCTTAACCCAGCTTTGAACAAATCGGCCCTGATTGGCTTAGCCATCATGGTATATGAGCTATTATACCATGCTCTCCAAATATGGTAACTGCACGCGTCTGCTCAAAATTAAAAACAGGCTGAAGCACTCATTCGGGTGTAAATTTGGGCGCCCGTCGAGTTTTCACGGGTATAAATTTATCGTTACCCCTTTCTTGTTGCACGGCCGCCGCGTACGTTAATATAAAACCTAGTCAACGGAAAAACCCGGTGACCAAATTTGAAAACCGCACAAGCTATTAAGGCCAAAGGATGGCAAAATCATCACAAATTACATCCTAAAGGCCCTAAAGGACAACAGCTCCCAAATGAGACACTCACCCACAGTCACCATTCCTGTAACCATTTCTCTTTGACTTGCTTTGCTCACAGTTACTCAAATCTTCACAGCTACAAGGCGATTCACCGCTATCAACATCATCTTCATAATCTTCACAACTGTCTCTATGACCATTTAATTCCTCTGTCTCTTCAACTCTCTCAATCACACAAACTTCTTCCTTTGCAGATTCTTCCTCTTTCAGTTCATTATTTGTTGACAGAGTTATTTGTGAATGACATTTACATTTCCCCTTCCGCTTTGCTTTCTTTTTTAACCGTTTCTGCTCTCGTTTCAGTTCCTTTGCTCTTTCAGCCTCAGAAATCTCCTCTACGACTTGTTCTAGCCGTGAAATTCCTTGCTTTTCTTCAACAGCAACCTGTTAAGATAAACATAGTGGTGAGCAAATGACTTGCATTCTAACAGGAGGGAGGAGCGCTTACCGGTCATTTCGATACAAAGTCGTTTCGCTAAACGTTGATTCAATCGAGGTGTAACTAGTTTCATGTACTTGGCTTAAAAAAGGAGGAATATTCACCACGCTTGTTTATCTTGGTCAGGCGCGAACTATGCTTTGAGTAATCAAAATTTTTTGTGCAATTTCATTGCTTGAGTTCGCATCGAAATGACCGCTTTCAAGCTGAAATGACCGCTTTCAATACGTCGTAAAATGGAGGTCTCAGTTTTGAGTCCCGCTCTGACCACTAGATGGTGCTGTTTCAACGCTTGCCGGTCGTTTAGCTACAAAGACATTTCGCTACAAGTCGTTTCGCAGCAGAGTCCTTTCGTTTTCATGATGCAGCGAAACGACTTGTAGCGAAACGACTTAGCAGTGAAACGACCAGATACCGTTTCAACTCGTCGGCCATCCCTATAAATAGCTTACTGGTTTGCCTCCTGCCAATCTGGGGTTATCAATATTGTCATGTTTGTTTATTTAATTGAGTTCATTTGAGAAAGTGCGCGTGAAAAACGCCAGAGCAACTATGTACAATTTCACTAAAATCATAGCAGTTACAGTCTTTCACTCCTGAAACGTGAGCTGTTACCTGTAAAAACACCTTTAACTGGTTGAAAACATAAGCATTTACAGGTATTTTGCTGACTTACCTCAAAACTTTTTCTTAGTGCATCAATCCCTAGATAAAACAGCATTTGCCAAGTTTGTTCCTCTGCCCTAAGTTTCTGCCAAAGCCTGTGAAGTCTTTCCCAAAGGTGAATGCCAAGACACGTCAACACCTTCAAAGAAGGAGACAAAATAATTTTTACCAATTTCAATTCTGCTCACAGGACCCATAGGGAAGGATATTTAAACGAAGTTTAGCCAGTGTTTAACAAAACCGCGTTCTAAGCCATTTTCAGTTTGCCAAACGCTTTTATCAAAACACCGTTTATCGTGAACAGTTTTATGAAAGCATAAAGTATAGACTACAACAAAATGGCTTTAAGGAGTGGTACAAGTCAAGTGCTCATAACTGAGCACTTCAGACTTTGTTTGATGGAGTCAGACCTAAAACAACTTTTTAATCATACCTCTTCCTGGGCAATGTCCAATGTCTTAGCATGTCTTTCTCTTCTTCTGAAATAAAAGCAATGCCGGTTAGGCAATGTATTAAAAGACAGTGGTGGTCCGCATCACTAATACATATAAGAATGGTGCGTGGACCTGCTTTTTTGCAATTAATTTTTATTACAGCAAACTATTACTAGACTATCATGGCTTAGATCTTCAAATTGCCCCGTCAACAATCTTATTCATTGAGAGAGGGACATTGATTCAATGTCCTCAGTTTAAAACAAAAAAAAATTGTTTGTGCAGTAACCAATGGAAGACAGTTTGACAATTTTCATTTCCATACCACCACTTTAAGTTGTTCTGCACCTTGTGTGAAGTCCTTGGGCTGCATGGCAGGTACTCAAAAGTAAGTGGGGAAGGACTGGGCTCAAAATAAGCCCCGTTTGGTAATCCGCGACAAGTAGCAACCCTCCAAGTTGTGACCATTTTGGTTCCCGTGGCGACTAAAATTTTGACATTGGCGACTTGATTCGCAAAAAAATTTCCTAAAACCAAAAGAGTTGGGTACCAAATGGCGACTGAGTAAAAACTTTAACTTGGAGGGTTGAGTAGATGTCCTTGCTGGACAAGTAACTTTCAAAGCTTACTCGTCCAATGCTGAAAGGTTCAAGCAAGTCATGCTCTAACAAAATCATTACCTAACAAGAGCAAGAAATGGTCCCAGACAAGCTGGAACAGTCTTTTCGCGAGCCATGAAGCGGAAAAATAGATGCAAGAGAACATGAGGAGACACATTCAACTCAAAGCTGAAGCAGCTGACTTACCCTCCAGCAAGCTCTGGCTCTGCCCGTCCAATAAGATGTGCAATATAGTCAGTATCACAAAGTACATGGACATGCCGCTCTTGAGGACAACTTTTGAGCCCATCATACAATGCTGCACAATACCTGGAAAAAGAAACAAAGCCAATGAGTACATAAACTTGACTAGAGTTTACAGATGGTAACTCTGATCAAGCAGTGGCCTGCTCCACTTCCAGTTGAAATTAAAGGGGCTATCACCATTTGCTATCTTTTAAAAAAGCTACTGCATTTTCCCCAATAACTGAATTCCACAAATCAAATAATGATCCCCTATAGACTATATTTAAGTATTAAAACTGTTTCCTTTTAATTGTTGCATTGGTTGGCAAGGATGGACGGGGATTAAAACTTAAAAAAGGTGTGCTGAGTTCTTCACGTTTTAATACCATACCTGCAAAGATCACCACAAAAAATATTGTTACTGCTCCTCAGGGTTGTCACTAAGATTTCAAGTTGCCGGGTAAAAACAGCAAGTAGGTGGGTAATCAAACACCTACAGGTTTCTTTTGGTTTCAATTTTCTTCTATTTTCCAATAAAAGTAGCCAAGGGCCACATTAATAGTAGCTAGGAGGGGAAATCCGCGGCCCCTGGCTCTTAATGACAGCCCTGGCTCCCTGATGAAATTTGTTTGATATCTACTTCGGAATCCAGCGAGGGCATTGTGTATGGATAAGGGCACTGAATAATGACTTCAGCACAAAATAGACCTAAAATGGTAATATCTTTGTGACATAGTCCCTTTAAGAAATGAAAAACTGGATATACCTTACAAAAGTCAGCTAACAGTCTTACCCTTTTTCACTAGGTCCATCTAAATCACCAGCCAAAATACTGTAGGCCCTTAGAACTTTTGATTTACATTCTGTACAAAACCTAGAGCAATAAAAACCAATGAGAAATAAAAGCACTACTTTTACAACAATGACAACAGTGTTATAAAATGTCAATAATTTATTGCCAAATGGATGAAGGAAAATGCCCATTACCAGCATTTCAAATTATTATTCAGTCAATAAGAGTCTTGAAATATAAAAATACTATATAATACACAGGAAAGCATTATTAGATTAACAGAAAATCTGCAGTTACTGATGTTGTGCATCAGTGGGTGCTATTCTGCAATGATGTTATAGTTCTAACAATAAATTATTTATTGTTAGAACTATAACATCAGATCAAACAGGAACTTATAAATTTCTTTACTAACCTATGCTTTCTCAGATAATTCTCCAATGTGTCAAGAAGAGCATCTGAATCGATTAACACAACCTAAAAAAAAGAGGTACAATATATGAGAAGGAAAAGTGGAAGAGATTTACAGAAGAAAAGGTTGCCATAAAGAGTATGGCAAAGTTTAACCATACCTCATCTCGACATTCCTGTGACAATAAATCCCACACATCTATCCAGCTTCTATTTAAGAAATCAATAAAATGACATCATAAGTATTTAAAAACAATTAATAACACAATGATTATTTTCCTTCCAAGTTTCACTACCAAACTGTAGCATTAGAAATAATTTATTACAGTCTTGACCACTGCCTTACCCTGATGGCCTTGACTTGTGTGTTTCCAATGAATGAAGAGGACACCGTCTGCAAAATAAAAATTAAGGGGTATCTTCTACTTACTGAACTATTTTACTGCAAAGAGAAACTCAACTTCTCAAAGGCTATGCTCTTTTCAGTGTTACAGCAGGGTTGTCACTAAGATTTCAAGTTGCCGGGTAAATACAACTAGTAGGCGGGGAATCAAACAGCTGGGGATTTCTTTTGGTCCTATTTTTCTTGTATTTTCCAATAAAAGTAGCCGGGGACCACACTCTTAGTAGCCGGGGTAAATCGACAGCCCCCCGCTCTTAATGACAGTCCTGCACAGGATACCTAGAGTCATGCAGTTAAACAGTTATGCTAAAGTGAAAGAAGGTTTTCTGTCAGTTGAATAAAAAATAATTGCTTTTTCTAGGTCCTTGGACACTGCTGGAGCACATTTAGCAAGGGGCACCCAACGTCAATTTTCAGAAAATATCTGTTTGGAAGACAATTTGAGATCTACAGTTTTCGGAACATTTGTTGTAAAATTTCCTGCTTGCCTGCCTCTCCTAGGATTTTCGAACATTCAAAAAATGGTATAGTTGCCCATTTTAAACTGATTTTTACACTAAGAAGGTCACCTAGAATTTTCGGGAGCCTTTTTCCTGGCTGAAATTTTCGAAAAGGTAAGTTTTGATCCCTATAATTTTCGGATCACCAGACTTTCAGCTAGGAAATCTGAAGAGATGAAAAATTTTTAGGGGATAAAAATATGCCTATATCTAAAACCGTTTAAATACTAAGATACGTTTAACAACGCTATGTTTAAATGGTTTTGAACTATATTCTCATTGGGTGTCCCTGATTTAGCCTCTTTACAAAGCAAGAATGGTAATTATTGTTGTTGTTGCTGTTTTCGTTAAATCTGAAACTCTACATACCTGTTACGTCTGCACTTAGGAATGGATTCAACCATCTCATTTAGTCTGGAACTTAAAGAAACAAATTAAGCCATTAGGTTACAAAATCTAGATTCCAGGCATCATTTATAGTCTTTCTGTCAATCATAGCATCCTCATGGCAACCCCGTCAGTTTGCAAAATAACATTGGCAAAAATACTCCAAAGCTGAGGAATATGATAACATTGTGGAAGGTTAAATAATGCAAGGTATACTGAACATTACAAGTGAGAAAAATAGCGAAAGAAATTAGACACAAGTTAATATCTGTAAGTAGCCATGTAAAATATTAGGAAACTTAATGTGTTTTAATGATTAAAAGGTGATGAGGTTATTTAAATGCTTATATATATGCCAGGAACACAAGATGATTAGGTTTAGAATAAAATACAATACAGCAAGAACAAAATAGAAAGAACAGCACTGCAATTAGTTGTATAGCTTCATTATTAAATAAGTAACATCACAAGCAAAAGAACTATTTTCAGATTTACTTACCCATGTATGTAAAAGAGTGCATAAACAAGTTTTGGATCCTGAAGGAAAGGACCCTCAATGGTCAAAACTAGAAAAAAGAAAAAAGAAATTAATCCATCATGTTACTCCTTTGCTTTTCTCTATTTTTATTATTAAACACAGCATTTGCAAGGTATTTCAGATAATCAACACTTTTGGTGCTGGATAAGGAACTTTATTATTCCACTTCAGTCACAAGAGTACAAATAACGCTAAAAACGAGTACAAATACCGGTACCTCACAGTAAAGTCAACTCTCTCATAAGCTACCACCCTTGGTGCACTACAAAGAGGTTGCTTACAGGAGGTTGTCGTGCATGGGAAGGATAACAAAAAAAGCTCAAATCGAACTGATTACCATAAATTTTACATAAAGTTATTACCTTAAAAGCTAAAACTTGGGCAAATAGATAACTGGCAATATACTTGATTATTAGCTCAATTTATAACATGCAGAATTTGTTAAAATTGATAAAATGAACTTGACAAGTTAGTGGCATAACTTGTAACAAAATGAGCATTGCATTTATTATCTTAATGGATCCACTTTCAAGTACAAAATTCAAAACAAATGGCAAAAATTGTGCCTGCTTTCTGAAATTTACCATAGTTGATGATATGCAATGGTTACGAAGGCCTAAAAACTTTTTTTTGTCAATGATAATATGTTCCTCTCAACCTTTTTAGCCTTGACCCTGCACAATGCTTATTAGAGCACACCAACCATGTTGGATAAGCTGACTAATATAAGGGTTCAGTCACAGTGCAAGGTCAGGGGGTTCCCAGCAAAGTGCTGTGTTTCAGTTTTGCTGGCTTTCATAATCAGTCTCCTCTAAGGCTCTTATAACTATGAATAGACCAAAGCATTGCACAGTCTGCCCAAAATTGTCACAATTAAGTGATGGTTCAATAATAACAACAGTGAGATTACATTGTATTTCCAATTTCCATCAAATAAAGGCCACAAGTCAGAACAACTTACTTCCACTGTTTGTAATCATTAAGGGCTCCAAGGCTGGTTGCCCAGATTTTACTAACTGGTTGTATAATCGCTCCATACTGTGCATAAACAACAGAATAATGTGATAAGTAAAGATTGTTTAGAGAACAAAAATCATCCAGACAGGATGTTACTTTTAACTTAATTCAAGGCATTTACAAAAGACAAAACTTCTTTAATCTCAAAAAGATATACAGTTGAACATCCATGCAACAGTACACTGTCTTGATCAGGTTTTCTACTCCCTTCCACTTGGTATAAAGAGTAATACACTGATCATGTAGTATTTTAAATTGGTGGGATAGCATATGTAAAAATACAGGCCCCAGTTGCTCACTGGATAAATCTCTATCCAGTGTATAACATAATTGGTTTCCCTAACACTCATCCACTGGAAAGTGATTTATCTGGTGAATAATGCTACCCAGCTTTTGAACAACTGGGGCCAGGTGAGGAATGATTTCAGAATACCCAGCCCACTAAATGTCTTACTAGTGTGCTTATAGAAAGAGGTATATAGCTAGTGCTCCCACAAGGACAGGGTGCAAAGAAAGTCCAAACGTTTTGATGAGCAGATGGATTTCACAGTTCTTCTGTAATTTGAATTCCTTTTAAAAGTTCACTTGCCCATCCGGCAAGTTAAGAACAGAATTTACTAGCCCGATAGCAAAATCCACTAGCCCCAGCCTATCGGACACTACTTTCTTTGCACACTGAAGGAGCAGTTTTTTAAAGTTAGATATTAAGTGGGCCAGGTATTATGCAATTTAGTCCCATGAAAATCATAGAATAAATGGAAATAACAAGATATTTGCAAACTTATTTAATATAAGGCACTGGGTTGTGTTTGAAATAAAAGTGCAATATAAGCATATTCCTACATTACATAACAAATCCCACAACAAAGGTTGTTACACATTTTCCAAAAAACTTAAGCTTACTTGTATTGGCAACGTAGCGAAGCCATTTAAGACAAATTTAAGAAATCTAAAGTGATACTTACCGAGATTTGCTTGTAATAGTGAATAATTAATTTCAAAACGATGAGGAAATATTATACAAAAAGAGAAAATCCTTGCCTTCTACGACATCCCACGCACGGAACAGAGAGAGACAGGAAGGAAAAGACATCTTTCTTTCGCACCATAGTTGCCACAGCGAGATCATCTGAACTTAAACATTGAAATCTCTGCAAAACAAAACGAAATTAGATCGGAATGTTTACTTCCTGGCAACTCAATTGCCAGAGAGTGCTCATATCCAACTGGAGACTCAGACAGTCAGCTTGAACTCGACACATCACACAGATAGTATCTGATCTCGCGATTAGCCATGACATTTATATGGTCGACTATTCAAGCTAACTATTCACTCGATCCAGAGTAAACACGAATGGCAACTTCTCATGTCGTATTTTCGCTTAGGTTTCCTAATCAGTATATCGTAAAAAAACTCACTTCATGCAGGTTTACGAATATTTCATTTGATTTGATTTTTATCAAAACTACTGGGTAACCATTTATTAAATTTAACCTTGGAAAAGACAACTCTGCTAAACGTCGCTACACCAGCTAAAGATTCGTTTCTAGCAGGTTTAAATACACTTGACAAAAGGGGAACTTAGCCTGAAATTTTTCAAAATATTCAAGCTTTAACGCTAAGTTATTCACTGACCTTGTTAAATACTTGAAGTTCGTCTTCGTTTACTTGGCGAGTAGAAATGACAGTTTCAGGAATTTCCATTACCATCTGAGCAAGAAAGGACAAGAAACTTCAGGCAAAATTCACGGAAAATAAATTGTCAGAAGGCGACTGGCACAATGTACAATACCGTTAACGTGTCTTCAATATTTAGAGGGATTTGTCTCCGCTCGAATGCGAAGTCAGCTTCATCTCGACACACCGCTACAAGTTTCGCCATTTTATCCAATCTGTCTTGCTTAGACGGACACCACAAAACTTCTGTTAAATCAGAGGAATTCGATAAAACTCGAGAAGTGCAATGCACTTCGTATAAATGTGTTCCTTGGTGAAAATGTCAACGTAAATATTCCCTCTTTTGCTTTCGATCCCGTAATCCATCGGCTGCCTCCATCTATACCAGCGAACAGCGCGAGGTGTGCCTTACCCATGCTTCTTCACGATGCCACGTTGATCCTCGAATGAATATCTAATTACGTTTTAGGGGTGGCCCAGGCTCCCGAAGGGCGCAGCAGAATTCGAGCAGGGGGAGGATTTGGCTCCTTTTTTTTACAGGAAGTTCATAAGTTGTCTACTAAACCATTGTGAAACATGAAAAGCTGCTCCAATATCTCAGAATTAGAAGATAACTAGAGAAATTGCTCAGAACGCAAAAAGTTGCTCGAAATACGAGAAGTTGCCAAAAAGTTGCCGAGCAACTTATGAAAACAAGTTATCTGCTATCTGTTATATTACGAAAAGCCCTATCCAAGCCTACCACCCACCCACGGTACGTAGTGCAACCAAAATAGAACTGATTACTTTGTTGTATGACGTCATATCAACTACGAAAATATAGAGAAGATGGCGACCTACAGCAACGGCTACAATTTTAATCGCAAGACAAATCCATTCGAAGAGGACTCTGACGAAGAATTTGAAAAAGTCAACGGAGATGAATTACGTACTCAAATGCAGCTATCGAGGGAACGAACATTGGACAGCACAAAGCGCTCTTTGGCTCTCATCGAGGACTCGCATGATCTGGCCGTCCGTACAGGCGAGGAACTACAATGCCAAGGAGAACAACTTAATCGGGTAGAGCGCAATCTTGACAAGGTACAAGGCGACATGCGTATTGCCAACAGACACATCAAATCTGTGAACAGTGTATGGGGTGCTATTGGTAATTACTTCAAGAAACCTCCAAAACCCGTTGACAGCACGCCACAATCAAGTCCAAAGTTTGCCTCTGGTATCGCCGACTTGCAAGCTGAATCTTCGCTGTACTACCATTCGAAAGAAGATAGAAACGGCTATGAGGCGGGCCCTAGAGAAAAGGAAAGTTTTCAGAGCAACGTATTCTCGCCCCGTGATCCACGCGAAAGGGAAATAGAGGCTAATCTAGACCTTATTTCTCGAGGGCTTGGACGTTTAAAAGAAGATGCTTTGATCCTTGGCGGTGAAATCGAAAGACAAAATGAACAGTTGGACAGACTGGGCTTTAAAGCAGACGAAGCGTATCAGACGATAGATAAATCAGATAAGAAAATTAGGGGAATATTAAGAAAATAAGTTGTTTCATATGTACACTTTACATAAAATTGGACATAAGTAAGGCCCGGTTCAGACGCCGCTCCACTCATGTGCCGAACCTAACTGAGTTTGGTTCGACTTTGGAGCGACATTGGCGCGACATCTGATTCAGACGGCGCGCCGTGTGTCGAACCTAATCTTTTTTTCATGTAGGGACTTATGGGAAGATTTATAAATTATCATAATGTGTGCATTTGATTTGGCACATGAGAAGAACGCCGTATGAATCACCCCCCGCTCCAATGTCGAATAATGCGACAGACCCTGTCGAACTTAACGTTTTTGCCGCACCAAATCAAAACTGCCATACCAAACTGATTCAGACGCCGCTCTTTTGCCGTACTTAATACCTCAGTTAGGTTCGGCACATGAGTGGAGTGGCGTCTGAACCGGGCCTAATAAGCTTATGCCCCCAAAGATAACAGGTTTTAGTAAAATCCAACTACTGGTCTATTATCAATGCTGCATTCTCATTGGTTGAGCTACTACAAGGCTATATGTTATAGCCCACTAGTAGTGAAAAGCGCGGGCTTTTTGGTGGCAAAAAATGATTAAAGTCTAGCTTTAACTAGCTAAAATTTTTTTATTCTCGATATCTTTGATCAACTAGTTGGATTTTACTAAAACAATTATTCCTCTCACCCTTATGGCCTCTGAGTCAATAGATCATGAGGCTGAAGGCTTGGGCTCAAGGAATAATTGTTAATTACATCAATAAACTTATCAACTAAGACAGAATTAAGTTCTAGGGTAGCAACATTAGCAAGTATCACCATGATTTAGTTATGGTTGAAAATCCAAAAGAAGAGTGTGTCAATGGAATATCCACTTATTGTGGGCTGGCTAGGGTATTTTGCAGAACATTGAATAGCTGCTGAACAGCAAGTGACACTGACGTTTAATAATTTGGGTTAGAAAACCGAGGAAATCAAGTTCCAGTTCAGTTTGCCCCATGTAATGAACCCAATTGGAACTTCATTCATTCATTTAGTTTCCTAACCCTAACCAATGAAGTTTCAGAGTCTAGGAGTGTTGCATGATGATACTAAAGCGGCTGCGAGGGAGACTAGGTGTTGGGTGGCCATTCAGTGTTCTGCAAAGTAGTTCTTTTGAGAGGGGCCTAATCTTTGTAAAGTTACTAATACCTAGTGTGACCCCAAGTGTCTTTGCTAAGGGCAGACAGAAAGTTAATAGACTGAAACTTGATAAAGTAGTTCAAATGTCATTTACTCCAACTTGGTGTTTGGAGGATCATTCAATATTTTTTCCTTTCACCTTGGAGAATTGATCTGACTTTCTTGTTTTGTTCAGGGGCCACTTCAGTGCACTAGTTTTACAGGGTCCAGATCAGAGTCAGTGTTATAATATTATTACAAGTCCTTTATAGAACAAACATTTATTGCTAACTGTTTTTTAGAGCCATAGTGAAATTGCTAGACAGACTGTTCAACCTCTTTAGTGTGTAAAATCAGGATATTTTTTTAACTACCAACAAATCACTTGAGCACTGAGGGTGGGAGTGTCAAGGGGGGTCTGGGGTCATGTTACCCCAGTAAAATTTGAAATTTTGATACTCTCAAAAGCTATTCTTGTGTTTGGAGAGGGCAATTTCTTTCTAAAACGTTCGCTAAATCAATTGTTTTTAATGCCTATTGTTTTTTTGGCGTGTTTTCACATACAAGTACTCATAGCAGTTTTAAGTACACTCTGTTACGTGTTCTTGTGTATTTATCATAAGAATTCATTTGAAAACATCAAACAGATGTCAAAATCGGGATTTTTCCTATCCCAATCGCATATTGGTCAGGACTTGGGATTTTCAAGCAAAATAGAGAGAATCCCAACGACTTGGGATGGTTGGACAATCTGCTAGATTCTGGGTAACTTCTAGACAGCCACTGAGTTTGTCAACTTGAGAGGTGATGGAAGTTAACGTTATCAGGGCCATGCATGCCTTGTTAATCATAGGAAAGTTTTGAGTGTAAGAAAACTATGTATATTGTTTGTGTTATTAGCCTAATTTATGCAATACTAAGATTAAGTTTGAGGTCATTTTCTATCCTTAAAGTTGACTTTACTTTCATAGGTCACTTTTTATAAAAAAGTTTGTTTATGTTATATTGAATCGATGAGAAGATAATGAAAAGAATATTTATGTCAACTATTCCTTCACAAGATCATTTTGAGAAGTTACTATTAAGTGAAAGTTTCATTTTCACAATGCAAATTATGACATTGACGCCCAGGGGGGGTACTCGGGATTTCAAGTGACGGGGATGATCGAAGGATTTTTTGGGGTTTGAAATTTTCGATTCCATGATTTTTTGGGTACAAAAATTTGGCTTGGGTAGCTTGATTTGAGTAGGGATTTTTTGGGGGTATTAAAAAGAGTCAGATAAGGGAAAGGATATATTCAGATGGTATGATGAATAAACAAACACGAGTGTTCAAATTCCAATGTTTTTCTTTGTGTTATAGCATTACCCCTTTCTGGAACTTTTAAGGGCCACAAAATCGGCATGGGATTTTTTTGGGGGTCAATTTTTGGTCCAGGGATTTTTTTGGGTTTTGCTGGAAGCCCTAGGGATTTTTTTGGGTCTTGACTTTTGGCTCCATTCAATCATCCCCGTCACTTGAAATCCCGAGTACCCCCCCTGGGCATTGACGACAGTGCACACAGATCTAAAAAACGGAATTCAGGAATGATAACAGAGTGGCAAATTGAGCTAGTTGCTTACAGTCCTTCCTGCAAACTTTTCCATTCTCATTCAATGTTGCATTGTCTTGGCTAAATCTGCCAAATTTTAAAACCCAGACTAAAAGGTGTAAGGGTAGAGAATTTAATTTTCTTGAACGAATTACCAGTTATCAAAAATGCTAAGCTGAGTTTATGGTGAATTTACAAGCATTCAAGAATAATCTTAGCTGCCTTTTTCTAGAGTATTTGGAGGGAAACTATAAACACCTTGTTTCTTGCAATCAAGAATAATAATTATTACATCAATAATATATCAGTACTCCAAGAACAAGTTATTGGATGCACATTTATTTTATTTCAGTAAGGTTTAACTAAAATATAAAATAGAAAACTTCTTAAAANATTTAATTTTCTTGAACGAATTACCAGTTATCAAAAATGCTAAGCTGAGTTTATGGTGAATTTACAAGCATTCAAGAATAATCTTAGCTGCCTTTTTCTAGAGTATTTGGAGGGAAACTATAAACACCTTGTTTCTTGCAATCAAGAATAATAATTATTACATCAATAATATATCAGTACTCCAAGAACAAGTTATTGGATGCACATTTATTTTATTTCAGTAAGGTTTAACTAAAATATAAAATAGAAAACTTCTTAAAAACAACCAGAGCATTGTTAGTCTCATAAACTAACATTTATAATATTTCAAAATTATTTTTTCTAAAAAATAAAATGAAAGAAAAATGTGATAAATATAAAACTGTAAATAGCAGAAAAAGTTTGAAGTGTAAGAGGAATTAAATTGGTTTTACCAACCATATGAAAGGTTAATAATTAGCTTAATTTTTTTGTTTGATTAAGTGCATGTGGTTAATTTTCTTGATTAAGCAATTACAAAAACACCCTCACATACAATGTAATAGGCTCGATTTCTGCCACTCTCTCGGTCCTCCCTAAGAAGAGACGGCTGGATGCGCGAGTGGGCTATTGTGTTTGTGACATAAATTCAAAATTTAATTTATGTGTCATGACAAAACATTGGAAATGCAACATGTCATTAAATGCTGCACACACTTTGTGCTTTGCCTCATCGCCACTTTGGTATTTGCCATTACATTACCAATGGACTTGACAGTGGTCTCTTTCACGTCAGCTGTCATCAACTTTGGTTCTGGTTGGCTGAATTTAAAAAACATACCTACCATTTGCCAGCTTCTCTAAGCTAATACTTTTCTTTGTAAATATTTTTAGGTTTTTAAGCTTAAAACACAATCGCATGTCACATCAAACAACACCTTTGCATCAGCAGTTTGAAATCTGCTCCTGGAAAATAGATTTGTGCTGCCTGCCCAATTTAAGCAGGTAACAATCTGATTGGTGGTAATTGACAATAGCAAACTCATGCATCCAGCCGTATGTTCAGGGGAGGAGAGTGGGCTCAATTCCCTGAACAGAGGCTAGTAATCAAGACTATCATATAACTGCTATAAAGAGAAATATTTATATTAAAATTTGGTGAATAATGTTATGGAAAGGTTGACAGCAGCTAAGGCATACGCACTACTAATGATAATAAACTTCATACTAATATAATAACTATCAGTAATAATATAATAGCACTTTCTGTGTGGGAGAAATAAACTGATCAGCAGATAATCAGAGGAAACTGCGTGGAAAAGATCTCTTTAGTGACCTTTTGGTGCACTGTATTGTACATCACAATCACTAAGAAATTAACAGGCATCAATTTTGATTTGTAGGGAGTATTAATATTAATATGATAAATGGACAATCTTTAATGTTGCAATACACCTTGGCTTGAACTTTCTGCTGCATTTGCTTATTAAGCACAGAAGAGTGCATTGATATATTATCAACAGAAAAACACTTCTGTGTTTCCTTTCATATTTACACTGTACAACAGAAAGCTCCACTATCCTATTCAAGAATTTCATACGTCCCAATCAATAAAACTTCTGTAGAGAAAACTTCAACTAAAAGGGAAAATTGTGTGACTACTTTTTGCATAAAGCCACTTTAACTTTGTCAGTGGCATCATTCCAATTTCAATTTTTTTTAATGCAAATTATACACAGCTCTCTTTATTAATGAAAGTTGACAAAAGATCATACCATATCTGCAGCCAATGCAGTGGAAAGTAATGTATCAGGCATCCTTTTTCTCAGTTGATCACAGGTTAGCAACATAGAGCTCTGCTGGTATCACCTGGAATAATGTTCTGATAACAGAACAAAAGTTGCCAGCAACAGATGTCAGTCTCACTCTGCCAGCATACCTCTGGAGTACTCACATACAACTTTGCAGGCAAGCTGACAGTAAAGACCCACAGACTTTGCTTGTTGCCTGCTGTCAGACTACACGGTTCTGATATGATTGAAAACTATCAAGGTAGCATACCGCCAGGTATGTTGCAGGTAGGTTGGCAACTTAAAAGAACAAGGCTAAAGATTACCATGTCCATGATTCATTTGTAGAAGACCTAACTTGAAATTACATATCCCTGTTATGGCTGCAGTGTGAACATCAGATCAAGCTTTATCATTTTTATTGCTTTTTGAATTTACAAAATAAAAGTCAGTTTATATATGTTACAGGTCAAAACTTTAAATTTTTCAACCTTGGTTGATTCTCAATTTCCTAATTGTCTCCTTGCCCTAATTATTTTAAACTTGAATTTAATTTTGGCCTGTAACATATACATTAGTAGCTATCCACACTAATTTTTTTTTAGAATTTTTTTTGAGAAAGAAAAGACTAAACCTATATTTAAGTTTGTTATATTTAAATACATTATTATACAAATGCATACTGGTTTTCCACTGCCCTGGAATGCCCATTGCTATTAGCAGCACTGGTCGTAATTCTAACTGAACCACCTTGGATGGTTGCAGGTCTTGTTATTCTATGGGCTGTGAGGCTGTGTGAACGCCGTAGCCCTTCTCCACTATTAGGTGAGTGATTATGATGCAAAGAGCCTCCTGGCTGCCGAGGTCCGCTGCCAGTATACACAACAAAATTTGTCAGCATTACATCAGATGGTCCACCGCTTTCAAGTGGGATTGGATTAGCCCTAAAATGTTCAAGCATCTCAAAGATGCTTTGAAACCAGAGGTGTTGAACTCGACATTGACCCTCAACATTAAGTGCAAGTCTGAGATGCTGCAAAAATACAAGTATTACATTATTAGTCAGATACTTTAATAAAATTTCCTTAAACCTGAAAAATTAATTCTCAAGGTAGAGGAAACTTCTACAAAGCAGAGGGAACATATTTGGAAGGAAAAGAGTCTTTATTTAATTCTGATAACCCGCAAGCAGGCTCACTTGTTTATAATAAGCAATGAACTAAGCCTCAAAATGTTGCATCAAAATTTAATGACAACTGCAAATAGTTTGTGATAGTTAGGTGGAATAAATTTTGATTATTTCAAACCCCTCATGTCACATCGCACAAAGTGTCCTTTTCTTGTCTGGTGACCACTATTTATGTCTGGTGACCATTCTAGGTAAAATCATATGGCAACTTTGAAAAGAGTTAAGTTTGGAGCACTGCATCTTGGAAAAATAGACTGGGCAGCACCATATCTAGACAAATAATTGGTTAAGAGAGTTGATTGCTCTTTATGAATATATTTAAATATATATTATGGTTCCATCATTGGATGTCATCTACAGTGTGTGCAGGCTCCTAAGTTACAGTGGAACATGTCACCAGAATTGACTATGGAAATGAACCAATAGAGTCCTAAAGTGTCACATCATAGGAAAAATTAAATTGTCTCTGAGATAGTAGCCCAGTTGTGCTCTGATGACTCCATAATTTTTGCTCAGTTCATAACATTAGGAACCGAGTCAAATTTAGAAGAGTTTGGATAGAGTGCGAGCCAGCGAGCCATGCGAGCCATGCGAGCCATCTGAAAACCTATCTACACGAACGATGAAACCGCATCGTTTTCAAAACGCGCAAAGCGTTTCTAACACGTTTCTAAATCCTTTCTCTTGATTACGTGGTATGCCACTTTTAAAAAACTTTAAGACAGTTAAGGTTTTAACACCAGAATTTAAAGTATTAAATATATTTTTGTTCGTACAGAAACAATGACAACATAGAAGCAACGGTTTCTTTCCCCGCTTGGATCGATGTTTAGCGTGAAACCACGCTTCGTTGCTTCAACGAGACACTGCGTGCGTCGATTTGCCATCTGCGAACTAAATAAAATACATAAAACATTAGCAATGATGAATAATTCATTGCACAAAACAACTGACAACAGACTAAAGCAACGGTAAATCAGGTAAATACTCACTTTTAGAAGCAGTTTATATACCTGCCAACTTTTTCTGAGATATAAGCGTGAGATTTTTATCCTGGGAGTGCTGGGATTTTTGAAGACGACACGATCATTTCCGAAGATTCCCGAAGAAGTCCGAAGTCTTCCGAAGACGTCTGAAGTCTGCCGAAGGCGAAGTTTTCACTTGCTTTTCACTTCAAAAATCAGAGATCGCGAGGAAGGTATTGTAATTTATTCATTTTACACATGGTTTTCGTTCCTTACATTGGTCTGAGTTAACATATTTTTGGAAATTGTGTCAAGCAAGACGGCAACAACTCACATTTTTCAATCAGGCGTGAGAAATTGGCCCGCAAGCGTGAGCCGGCGTGAGATCGAAGTTTTCAACCCGCAGGCGTGAGAGTTGGCAGGTATAAGTTTATTGCTAGATTGATTCGACTGAACTGGATTGTCCAAAAGGATTGAAGATTTTTTGAAGATCCGGCCACGAGCACGCTGAACGGTTCGCAAGAACGAAACAGGAGAGAAAGACTATCAGAGAGGGGAGAGAAAGTCAAAATTTGTCGCTCTCCCTCGACCCAGACTGTTCGCGTCCAAAATAACATGGCCACGGCGTGAGCCATCGCGGTTTAATATTCGCGATTGAAAGCACATTTCCAGCAGCAAAACCAATTACAAAACGAACTATTTCCAATTAGAATATTATTAAAAATTTATATTTTCCGATGGCTCGCATGCCTCGCATGGCTCGCACGCCTCGCATGGCTCGCACGCCTCGCATGGCTCGCTGGCTCGCAGATTATCCGGACCCAATTTAGAAGGATCTGTATGGAGTCATCAGCGCAAAACTGGACTAGTATACATCTCTGAGACAATTTGCCCTACAATATGCTAAAGTTTTTGGCAAGTATACCTTTCAGATATTGTTCTTTCAAAACACTGCAACAAATCTCATAGTTTCCAAAATTTATTCTTTATGACATCATCACTTTAGAACTCTATTAAGGGGCCCCAATATTTAATAAGTTTAATAATAACTTAAAAGACAAACCTTTGCTCTTCCCTGATAATTAAAAGTCAAAACATATTCCCCTCGTCTGGTTTCACTCTGTCTTATGAGGAAAATTCCATGCCATTGTTGGCCGCCCTGTGACACAAGATGTGAAGCCTCTATCCTTGGCAGAGTTCCATGGAACCATGGGTAATTGGCAAGAGGGTGGTTTTCCATTGATGTTGCACTAACCCACACTGGGCTCTCTGCATAGGATTCGCATAAAATTCAATAAATCATCTTTCCCATCAAGTCAAACAAACACCTAAAGCTCAGGCTGTACAAAAATAGTCATCATTACAAATTCAAAATTTTGTTGGGCTTTTTACACCGCAGATAGCCAAGTCCAAATTAAGACTGTAATAGGGATGACTCCCATTGAGAAAAAAGTAATTGTTACTACATTTAATCATTATAAAATTTAGTTTTGCAAGAGTGGTTGATCATAACTACTGAGAAAGGTACCTTCACTGTTTGCCTGTGGTGTAGCAGCTTGAGCAGAAATCTGTCGCAAAAGGTCAGGTTGATTAGGTGGTAAGGCTGGCCCTTCAGTGCTGGTGGGTGATCTAGGAGGGAGTTCTGGAGGAGGACGAGTCCATGTCATATCATCTACAATGTATTAAAAGGAAATTATAATAATCAGAGTAATGTATTTGAAATCATTGATAATATAAACCTTGCAAATATATAGTGTATGTACTCAATATGCACCTATTGTGTGGACAGCTACAAACAGTGATTTATTATAAAATCAATAATTTATTACAATGAAATCATGTTACTATAAAAAAAGCCCATACTCCAACACAGGTGGAAATCAAAAAATGATTATCACCAAGGAGGAACTTTAAAAAAAACGGTATGTTTAAGTTTAAACTACAGCTCAAACTGAAACACAACAACTTTTTTTTAACAAAAACTACTGCTAAAAATTCCTACAATGTCTTAGCGTATTAATTATTATTCATAATATCCCTGATCTTTAAGACAGCACCGGCCCCTAGCTCAATGGTTGTGGAGAGTAAATGATACATGTTGACAGTATAAAACTAGTTATACACTCAAAAAGGAATTATGACACATAATTAACAAACCTTGATAGGTTGGTGTCTGTGGACCATGTTGCGAAGTTAATGATCCTGAGGGCCGGTTTTGTATTCTGAGCGATGAGGGTGTGTAAACATTCCTCCTTTTTGCTAAATTGGATACTGCCTCAGACGGTTTTTTATCTGCAACAACATTTTTGTCACATCAATCATTTCATTACATGACTGGTAACCTGTTTGATTAACCATTATGCTAAGGGTTAAAATGGTCAGCAGTGTTCACTGATAGTTAACATATGCATGTACAGACTAGTGTCAGACTCACTCAAGACCTAAAATAATGGAAGGCAAGGTTCATGTCTGGGACTCCCTTTTCCTTCCTTACTGAGTATCTTCTCCCCTCCGCTACAGTCTGTACGAGCAAGTGGGTGAATGAATGCTGACATCCTAACCAAATTTTCTTGAATCGAAGGGTTTCCCATTTCTATAGTAATTATGGAGGCTCTGTTCCTCGTGCTTTATGTATGGACATTCTGTTAGCATAATTTATGCACATGTTACATTTACAGTGTGCACCTAAATATCATTATAATTAGCAAGGGTTCAAAAATCTTCTGAAGCATGAAAATTATAGGCAGACTAATGAAAGAGGCAGTTTAAGGTACACTGTAACATAGTTGTCTGATCATCACTGCTAACTATCTTTTGATTGAAGGGGGTGGGTGGCATAAAGACCTCCTAGGTCAAAATTTACTCCTCTATACCAAATTCTCCCTTTTGTTCACAAACATTTAAAAAAGACAATTACTGGAAGGAGAACCTAGCAGCTCATCAAATATCACTAAGCTTTATCTCAGGCACCTCTTCAATTAAACCAAATACACTAAAGAGCATTGGTATGCAAGTGCTTGATTTTTCGCAACAGCTAGAGTAAACCTAATCAGCCACTACAAAGAGAGAGCAGTGCAACTTGCCTGCTGGGTAACTGTCCAGTCTCACTCTAAGCGACTGACTGTTTCCAAGCTTCACTCCTCCTGCTGAGAATTTTTGCGTGGCAACAACATCTACAGAGGCGCTTTGAGGAAGGCCTCCTGTTGCACCTCTCTCTTCTGCACCTGAACCAGTTCCACTATAAGAAGTTAAAAAAAATAATATTTGTGTAGGTGAAGTGTAGTTGAATGTCTCGTAAGTGACCACCCAAAATGCGAAGTGTAAGTGGTCGCTTTTGGGAGGTGGTTGCTTCTGAGAGTCAAGCTGCAGGAGGTCTGTAATGAGGAGACGTCTGGTCATATCTNACACTGTAACATAGTTGTCTGATCATCACTGCTAACTATCTTTTGATTGAAGGGGGTGGGTGGCATAAAGACCTCCTAGGTCAAAATTTACTCCTCTATACCAAATTCTCCCTTTTGTTCACAAACATTTATAAAAGACAATTACTAGAAGGAGAACCTAGCAGCTCATCAAATATCACTTGAAGCTTTTTCTCAGGCACCTCTTCAATTAAACCAAATACACTAAAGAGCATTGGTATGCAAGTGCTTGATTTTTAGCAACAGCAAGAGTAAACCTAATCAGCCACTACAAAGAAAGAGCAACTTGCCTGCTGGGTAACTGTCCAGTCTCACTCTTAGCGACTGACTGTTTCCAAGCTTCACTCCTCCTGCTGAGAATTTTGGCGTGGCAACAACATCTACAGAGACGCTTTGAGGAGGGCCTCCTGTTGCACCTCTCTCTTCTGCACCTGAACCAGTTCCACTATAAGAAGTTAAAAAAAAATAATATTTGTGTAGGTGAAGTGTAGTTGAATGTCTTGTAAGTGACCACCCAAAATGCGAAGTGTAAGTGGTCGCTTTTGGGAGGTGGTTGCTTCTGAGAGTCAAACTGCAGGAGGTCTTTAACGAGGAGAAGTCTGGTTGTATCTACTTTTTGGACTTTTTTTGGACAGTGTTTTACAAACAGTTTTTAGCCTACAATAGATGTAAATTTGTGTTGCTTTTAAAACTTCCTCTCATACTCCGAGTTGCATAGTACATACAACAAACACAAAGATCATTAAATGACCACCGTGGGACAATAAATTTTATTGTCCCATGGTGGTCACTCAGAAGAAAATGAAAACAATGGAAAATCCTAGAACTGTCATTTACAAAAAGGCTTTGACTGGGAAAATTTTTGGTGTTTTGGATATAAGTGGTTGCATATGGTAGGTGTTTGCTTAAGAGTGGTGGTCACACCTAAAGGTTGAGCTGTATAAATGTTACAGTAAAATCTTGCCTCATCACCAAATTTCAAACACCAGGCAGTCACATATTAAGGGTTTTAGTTTCCCCTGAGGGAATTTGACCGTGTGGACAATAACCCTCTTTAATTAATAAGTCAACATACTTTAACTAATATACACTTTTAACAGAGGACTCTCCGATCTTACCTTTGGTTAGTTGAGCCTTGGTCTTGGTCCATGCACTTTCTGATCTCCGCTAGCCATTCATCCATTTCTTGTTTATCATTAGCAGCTAGCATGTACTCTCTCTTGTTTACTGCCTATTTATAATCATTTTATTATTGATAAGCTTTACTGTAAATAAATCCAATGAAATATCATTAATATTGTCACAGGTTAACATTCCACAATTTTACAACAATGATGGTCAGTCCAGACACATTTCAGCAACATGTGTTGCAGCAACTCTACAATGTACCTCCAGATCATCCAGGAATCTTCTGCATACAAAAACAAATTTTCACTTCTCCAACATGCGTACAGGCCCCAGTTGAATTATGGCTGAGTTTAACAATCCATAAAGCAACAATATTGTTTTCCTAAAACTTACCCGCTGGGGACTTATCATAATCATTGTTCCATCGACCAAAGACGTCAAATACGAACTAGGTAGAATTGGATTTTTGTACATGTTCATTGTGCGACTTTAAATAAGGCGGCTCGCCTAAATACACTGTAAATTACACGCAACATTTAAAGTTTAAACTAAAGTGTGTGAAATATAAAATAAACCAGCATGCGCGTGGCGCACATTTAACTCAAAATAAAAAACAGATTGTTCGTCAGAACAATAAAAAATATAATTTTATTATATTAAAGTTACTTACAATGTGGTTGGACGGCATGGGTTAATCAAGGGGGACGGGTGTTCAGGGCTTGAAAAAATTTAAGTCCCATCCGGTAGTCCGGAGGGACAAGTAGATTTTCTAGCTTTCCCAATGGGCAAGGGTTCAGGCAAGTCATCTTCTAACAAAAATCATAAACTATAGAACAAGAGGAAGAAGCAGTCTCGGGTTGCAAGCACAATGTGAGAGCTGCTGCTTTCCCCAAGTTAAGGATCACCCTGTGAGTAGAGCCTTCTTTTGCTTCTTCTTGATCGAGGAGGTTGAAAAGGAGGTTCTGCCTAAATCATGTCACGTCAAGCCTTTGAAGTCACCACAGCCCGAACTTCTGGACTAGCCATTTTATTTATTTTTTTTTTTTTTCAAGCTGGTTTTTCATTTTAAGTAAGACATTAATGGTACACAACACTCATACCTTTATGACAAAGACATTTTGCCCTCCAGGAAGCTCTAATTCTGTGGCAGGCCTTGCCTCATGTATAAGAAAGCAAAATATCCCTGTTTTTGCTTTTGGTGACTAGAGAAAAAATTGCAAGAAAAAAATGGTTAAAATATTTCAACAAACAAAATGCTAAGGGAGTCTAGCTCTCTTCTTTTCCCAAAACCAGCACTTATGCCTTTTAATGGGAGAGGCTTAACTTGTTAAGAGTCACTATGTCACACAGTATAACAGAAAATCATAAATCAGAAAAAAAGATAATGGGTTTTAACCGTAACTCATCTATGTAATAAACTCCCACTTCCAAATAAATGCCTCTTATCTAACAAAGCCCTCTCTATGCTGTTAATAATAATAATTATTGTATTAGATGCCCCACTCTAATAAACACCCCATCTAACAGATGCCACCTACAAGAATTACTCCAAAATACTAGGGATTAGCAAAAAGGAGCAAAATCATTCGGATTCATTCAGTTTCTTGCTTGATTAACAAGGCTTTGCGTATTTCATCTTGCTCAATGTCAAGTTGAAAGTGAGGATAGACTAATAATGGCAACACAATAACCCTGAGTGAGGATTCTGACATCGACGTTGGGATTTGAAAGGGTGATATGGATCTCTAGATGACCTAGACTTGATGGAGTGGATATTCCTCTATTTTAAAACCCTCTTAATGTTTTTGCTGAAAGCATATTAGTTTTGTTGAGCTTCATTCGGGCAAGCTGTAGCTAGCAAGTACTAGACTACAAGTCATTTCAACTCGCCCCAAAACCCTTTTTGATTAGCAGGACTGATTACAATCCTTCTGTAATTTGAATTTCCCCAAAAAGCAGCACTTGCCCATCCAGCAAGTTACTGGTAAGAACAAAAATCACTGGCCTGATAGCAAAATCCACTAGCCTCGGGGTATCGAACACGACTTTCTTTGCAAGCTGTATTAAATGCTCTGGTTTGGACCCATAAAATTAAATAGACACTTGGGGGAATTATTTGGTCATTCATGGCAGTTTGCAAACATGCCGAGAAACAAAACAATATAGCAAAATAAAACCAAGGATTTGATTAAGTAAACCAGATTGAGCCTACAGATGAACCTTATACCTTTAAGTCAGATAGTGATCAACACTGTGACATGCTGATTATTTCGCCTTCACATTTATTCACTGAGCTTAAAATTTGCCATCTTTCATCCTTTTACCTTACAGTATGATCTCAACATTGCTGATCCTACAATATGCAGGACGCGTGTCCAATGTGAACACAGTATATGACCTCCCTCTCCATGAGTTCCCCATAGCTCAGTGGATAGAGCACCCGCCCGGTATATGGGAGGTCATATATAGGGGACTCAGACTTTTTTCTTTGTCCCACACTACTGACATACTGACCATTTCATCTTTACATCAATTTTCTACTACCAATAAAATGCATAATCAAGAGACAAGGTTATGATAATTATCAATAACATGATTCGCCAAGGGAAGATACCTTGGTCTTTGAACAATTTCTCTTAATTCTTAAAGATCAGTCTGGTCAATTTGTACGTGGATTTTAGGGCAGGTTATGTAACTTTTTGTAATGTAAATCATGTACCGCCTACATGACAAAAATGTCAAAAGGTCCTGAGAAATTTTATTTGCATTTATCTATTTGTTTAAATTAAGAAGTTTTACCTTTTTTATGGAACTTGGAAATTTTAAGAGACATAATTCAAAAGTACAAGAAGTCTCCCATCCTTTTTGTAATTCTTACACATTTAGTTGAATTTCACATTACCTAAATACATATATTGTGCATATTTATCAGTGTCTACAAACCTGACATTGTGCCATATATAATAGGTCATATGGGAACGCTGCCAAATTAATAAAACTCACCCATGCGCGATAATATATTACACGGAAGTCCATAAGTGAGAGACTGATATAGACGAGCTCAAACTTCAGACAAACCATATCATGTATGATTATAATATCTTGTATGATTAAATATTCAAGCTAAAAAAACAGGGGTTATGAAATATAAATTTCACTTTTGCTAAACATTTAATCTTGAGATAATTAATACTTTCGATCATGCATGTTGACTGACTGTGGAGCCACAATGGGATTAAAAGAACGCTACATTCTAGAACTGCTTCAGAAATTAGGTATAAAACTTGAGGCAATTTAGAAAAGGAACTGCATGAACAATCGTGACCAAGCACAAAAAAATGACTTTGCAGCTTCACTTTCAGTTTGACACTATTGCTGTTAGTTTTAATAGCGCATTATCACCCTCAAAACCTCTAGAGACAAAATAAACACACCGACTATATTGTGAATTAATAAACCGATAACAGGACAAACAGCTGTATGATCGAAGGAAAATAACAATGTTGCTAGATGAAGTGGATTTTTTTTTACGACAAACTATGAAAAAAAACTCCTTACCTTCGGAGGGGTGTAAAACTCTAACATGAATCCTCCAGGAGCTTTAAACAAAACGATCCGGCATTTCTGCCAGAAGAAGTCCTCTGTGTTTACCCCGCTCTCCAAGTTCATAAGATAATTCATGATTCCTTCTCGTTTGATCGTAGTTGTCAGTTTCGCTTCTTGTGGGATCGATCTATCTTCGCACTCTCTTCTTGTTTCCGCGTGCTTTGCCGGACCTGAGGATTCATCGTTAACATTACGCTTAAAAAATCCTTTTACGTCCCTAAGCTTGTCAAGGAACTTGAAACTTGATTCACTATTTTTCTTTTCAATCGGCTTGAAAGACCCTGTGAGATGAACGCTCGATCCCCAGTCATCGGGACCAAATACATCCGTAGGTGAATCGGGGGCATCAAAGTCCATAAAATCATTCTTGTGCACTTCACTGTCGAATGCCGGCAAGAAATACTCGACGAAACGTTTAGAAAAAGTAGTCGAGGCCCCAGAAACATCGTACACGGGATTGTCTCCTAAAAATTGGACGAATTCATTGGCGAATTGCCTCGCCGCGACTTCTGCCCTGTCCTTGCAAAATTCTTCCCAACGACCGCTCGGAAATTTTGTGCCAATCTCTCCATTGAAGCAAGCCATCAAGGCAAAGAAATGTTAGCTGACCATTTTAAGATGAGCCATCGCAACGGACGTGCAGTTACAATCACCATTTCCTTCCTAACGTGACTTCTTTTCTTAGCGGACAACACCAAAACAAGATGCGTGAAAGTTCCAGCTAGTCTTGCGCAAATTTGCCTCACTTTGAGAACAATGTTAACTTCCGGTTACCTGCTGATCAACCGGAGATGACGAAATTTCTCCTCTTTCTTGTGAGTTTTGTATTTATATGCTGGTCTTATTCATTAAACAACTTCTAAGCTGAAGGCGTTGAACCAGAATTGGTGAACGTACACTATTTAAGTCCTTCTGCAGTCTTGATTTAATTATCATCATCATTTTTTCCCTTTCTTCTAGCTTCTTTGCCTTTTTCCCCTAATTTGGTATCAACTATGGTGGAAATTCTGGTGGATTTGGGTTGGCAGGGAAGATGAACGTGCAATCATGGTGGGTGCGGTTGCAGCAGGCAACAGTTGCGGAAGTTCTTCGAACAATTCTTATTTTTAAAAAATATCAAAAGCTATATTCAAATAAGGCTCTTGAATATATAGTATACTATGGCTAAACTAGGAAGTGTTTGTTTCGAAAATAACGTGTTCACTCTCGCCAAAAATACACTTTGTCTGAACGGTTATGAATGGTTCCCGGAAGGGGAGGGGGCAAGTGGTACCTTTTTCAGGCATCAGGTATATAAAAGGACAGGGATTTCAATAGTTGAAGAACTTCGTCACGGTCCATGAAATCGCAAAAAAAAAGAACTTGGCCAATATCCAGCCATCTTGACCTCAGGCGTGGCCAATAACGAATATTTATAGATTTTAGACATAAACCAGGAAATAGAAAGTGATTGTTTTCTCTTTTTGTGGAGTTTTAAGGCCTCGAATAATTTTCGTCGACCTTAAGCGCGGGCGAAATTTTGAATATCGTTTGTACCATTTAGGCCCCTATGTAGTAAAGTGGGGGAGGCGGGGGAGAGGTTGAATTCATAGGTTCCTTCAAGTAGGCTAAACATTGTGGCTCGGTTATTTAAAGGAAGATTTACTTTGGCCACGGTTTAGCAAATCTTTGAACCTCCAGATCTTCATTAGTGGGTAATTTTAGGAAAATAAATGCTTATCAAGCGGTATACGCCTTATGTTTTCATGAAACTTTTCACGATAAATGATATTAAGGAAATCGTTGGGCAAATTGAAAATAGTTTAGGTTTTGATAAAAACTGGCTAAACTTCGTTTAAATAACTGGTCCTGTAGGTTTTTTACGGTGAACACACGGAAGGGGCGAAGGACGCGGGGAGCATGGAGCTGAATCACAGTATACTCGTTAAGTGGCCGTGGCATTTTCTCCCGATGACTCATTGCGCGGAAAGCAAGAGAGAAAGGGCCTGTTTACATGGAGGTGGGGGACCCCAGGTAGGTGAGGCAAAATATGGCGGGTCACCCCACCTATCATATAGACGTGATCAAATTAAAATGAGAGATTATATGGACAAACGGTTTACCCCACTTAAGCGGGTTACCTCACCTACCTGGGGTCCCCCACCTCCATGTAAACAGGCCCAAAGAAAGAAAAAGAAGCACGCTTATGTAAATTCCATAATGATCATGGAATTAAAATTAGCCTCTGCAAATCTGCCATAATGCACCTTGTTTGCCCTCAAAATTTTGCATAAGCATTGTCGTCAATTTCCCTTGGGACGACTGTAACTAACTCAGGAGAAATTATGACCAGAAAGCCTTGGAGTCATGTTAGAATTTTAATATATCGAACGTCGACTATTTTAAGGCAAAAAAAAAAAAAAAAAAANATGACTCATTGCGCGGAAAGCAAGAGAGAAAGGGCCTGTTTACATGGAGGTGGGGGACCCCAGGTAGGTGAGGCAAAATATGGCGGGTCACCCCACCTATCATATAGACGTGATCAAATTAAAATGAGAGATTATATGGACAAACGGTTTACCCCACTTAAGCGGGTTACCTCACCTACCTGGGGTCCCCCACCTCCATGTAAACAGGCCCAAAGAAAGAAAAAGAAGCACGCTTATGTAAATTCCATAATGATCATGGAATTAAAATTAGCCTCTGCAAATCTGCCATAATGCACCTTGTTTGCCCTCAAAATTTTGCATAAGCATTGTCGTCAATTTCCCTTGGGACGACTGTAACTAACTCAGGAGAAATTATGACCAGAAAGCCTTGGAGTCATGTTAGAATTTTAATATATCGAACGTCGACTATTTTAAGGCAAAAAAAAAAAAAAAAAAATTGGGGGCAGATAAGTCCAAGCGATTGCCTATCGACGAAATTAGGAAATCCGAAGAAACAAGTCACAAGTATTTTGTGACCACTCGCAGACTCATAATTTTGTCCTGTATAACCACAGGCTTACTATCCTCTGAGTTACCGACTGCAGTAATACACTGAGTGAGCATAGCTTTTCTGAAGGAGATATTAAATAACGCTTTAGGACGAGATAAAAACAAAAGAAAGTTCAAACATAAACTCGATATTGAACTTTTGTCGTTATGTGTTGGTTTCGACAATTTAAAGCTCGCGAAACTTCAGTCTTATTATCAACTCAAAGTTTGAGAAACGTGTACTTGCTTATTAAATTGGAAAACTAGAAAAAGAGACTAGTTCGCAACATTTCGTTTGGAAACTGCATCGGAAGTATGGCCTGGTCGTTTGAACAGATACATTTTTTTAATTCAATGTCCTCAGCTGATTTGGCTACACTTTGCAGCTGGTTTTTCCCCCCCAAAGGTCAAATTTAACGGTTGAATGTGAAATTATGAGGTTCACAGTTTGCATTAATGAAAAATAACCACGATCCCTTGTTATAGACGTTTTCAAAGAAGGCCAGACTATCAAAATCCTACTAATACAATACAATAGATAACTTTATTCTCACTAGAAATATCTAAATTTGTACAAAACTCAATAATAAATCCTATCGTACATTAAATAAATCTACAAATTTATGAAGTTTATATTCAGATGCTTGATAGAGTAATCGAAGCGATATGTCCCCAAAGGCTGCTACCGTTCTCTTGTATCAAATTACAATGTACATAAATTCACAGGCCTGAAAAAGAACAAAATGAACATATGAGGAATCTAAGGCAGCGTTCACACCTGGTGCCTGAGCAAGGTGCCCGAGTACGGTACTTGCTGGGCATTAAGGTGAACCCACCCAAACTTTAAGTACCCAAGCAAGAATTTGGGCACGGTGCCAGTGTCCGAGTACAAGGTCTCTGGGTCCTTGTAAGCACACCGTTTTTTGTGAGTTCTGGGGCAGTCCACTGCTTTGTCCACTGCTAAGCTCAAGTTTCAAAATGGCGTCTGACAGGGCTAGATGGAGTAATCATGTACACCTGTAGTTGTACATCAGGTATTCACGGTGTGAACACAACACCATTTTGCCCCTGGGTAGGTGTGGACAGCCCCTAACAGTAATGCGGTAGTAAATAGGAGTAGGAAAAAAAAAACAACTTAATTCTGAGGGTACAGATTTAAAAATCTGCAATCATGCGGTTTTTTCATTCTTTTTCGTCCTTGAGTTTTTGGGAGTGACATATAGAGATATAGGAAGACATGATTACAGGTAGAAGCTCTAAAGGTGAAGCCAATTCACCGCTTTAGAAACAAGAAGGGAACTGAGGCGAGTTAACTTATGCAAAGACATCTGGGACTGTTACTAGTAGTAGGGACGAGGAAATAATTGGCCAATAGCTGTCGGGCGAGTCCCCAGTAAAGATCCCAGAGACAATCATGGGACATAATTCGACTCCAGTTTTCTCTTCCTGGCTTCTAAACCATCAAGTACCAAAGCAAGAAAAAATTGCATGTAGGTCTGCAGTGAGTATGCAGTGCAAACATGATCTGCAAAGCTGATTATCTTTCTCAAAAAGATATTGAACTCACAAAATGATGGTTGTCCAAATGTGTTCTATATTATAAAGAAAAAACATCAAGTTGAGTCCAAGAGAGGACAATCCTTTCTAGTTTCTGTTTCCTTCTCACTTCATGTCTCTCTCTTTTTTTTACCATAATGATGGGCAATGCTAGCAGGGATACTTGCGAACAAGATGAGCTGCAAAAACCGAGCATGGAGCAGAAAAATGAAAGAAAAGCAGAAAAACACATGTGTAGCACAAGTTAGACACTGGGTATGACCAGGACTACAAAAGATGGGTGGAAGACAATAAAATAATAATAATAATTATTATTATTATATTGTCTTCATTTCTTAATTAGCTGTAGTTACTCCCACTCCTGCGAGTATTGCCAATTTTACAGTTCTCTTGTGTAATAAGGACTTTTTTTAAACAAACATTATGTTTCTTACCTTGCATATTGAAATTAGATTGCTTACTCCCAGTTCTTTCACAAATGTTGAACAAAATTCAGGCTCTGCCATGCAATGCTCCACTCTGTAAGAAAAACCCTCACTATTAAAGTATTGCCACATCAGAATGTGAAAAAAGCCCTGACCAAGAGCCACTACCAAGTTAGAGTATTTTCCTGGCAAGTTGCCTGTTGGGCCAGCCAAAGTTGTTCACTTTTAAGGGTGAAAAGTAGAAAGAGTAGTATGAACTGGTTTATTCCAAATAGCTATTAAACAAATTCAGTTATAGTCAGAGGTGTCAGCTGTCTCTTTGCCCCACCCCCCTCCCGATAACCTAGCGGCCCATTGGGTGGGGGAGGGGGGGGGGGGGAGCCCCCCCCCCCCCTCAAAGGTCAAATTTAACGGTTGAATGGGAAATTATGAGGTTCACAGTTTGCTTTAATGGAAAATGCCCATGATCCCTTGTTATAGAAGTTTTCACAGCAGGCCAGACTATCAAAATCCTACTAATAAAATACAATAGATAACTTTATTCTCACTAGAAATATCTAAATTTGTACAAAACTCAATAATAAATGCTATCATACATTAAATAAATCTACAAATTTATGAAGTTTATATTCAGACACTTGATAGAGTAATCGAAGTGATATGTCCCCAAAGGCTGCTACCGTTCTCTTGTATCAAATTACAATGTACATAAATTCACAGGCCTGAAAAAGAACAAAATGAACATATAAGGAATCTAAGGCAGCGTTCACACCTGGTGCCTGGGCAAGGTGCCCGAGTCAATACTTGCTGGGCATTAATGTGAACCCACCCAAACTTCAAGTACCCAAGCAAGAATTTGGGCACGGTGCCAGTGTCCGAGTACAAGGTCTATGGGTTCTGTAAGCACACCGTTTTTCGTGAGTTCTGGGGCAGTCCACTGCTTTGTTCTCACTGCTAAGCTCAAGTTTCAAAATGGCGTCTGACAGGGCAAGATGGAGTAATCATGTACACCTGTAGTTGTATATATCAGGTATTCACGGTGTGAACACAGCACCATTTTGCCCCTGGGTAAGTGTGGACAGCCCCTAACAGTAATGTGGTAGTAAATAGGGGTAGGAAAAAAAAACGACTTAATTTTGAGGGTACAGATTTAAAAATCTGCAATCATGCGGTTTTTTCATTCTTTTCCCTCCTTTAGTTTTTGGGAGTGACATCTAGAGATATAGGAAGACATTGTTACAGGTAGAAGCTCTAAAAGTGAAGCCAATTCACCGCTTTAGAAACAAGACAGGAACTGAGGCGATTTATCATTTTTGCTAAGAAGTCTGGGACTGTTACTAGTAGTAGGGACGAGGAAATAATTGGCCAATAGCTGTTGGGCGAGTCCCCAGTAAAGATCCCAGAGACAATCGTGGGACATAATTCGACTCCAGTTTTCTCTTCCTGGCTTCTAAACGATCAAGTACCAAAGCAAGAAGAAAAAAAAGCATGTAGGTCTGCAAAGAGTATGCACTGCAAACATGACCAGCAAAGCTGATTATCTTTCTCAAAAAGATATTGAACTCGCAAAATGATGGTTGTCCAAATGTGTTCTATATTAAGAAAAAACATCAAGTTGAGTCCAAGAGAGGACAATCCTTTTCAGTTTCTGTTTCCTTCTCACTTCACGTCTCTATCTTTTTTTTACTATAATGATGGACAATGCTAGCAGGGAAACTTGCCAACAAACTGAGCTGCAAAAACCAAGCATGGAGCAGAAAAATGAAAGAAGAGCATGAAAATGCATGCATAGCACAAGTTAGACAGTTGGTATGACCAGGACTGCAAAAGATGGGTGGAAGACGATAAAATAATTATTTTTTTATTGTCTTCATTTCTTAATTAGCTGTAGTTACTCCCACTCCTGCGAGTATTGCAAATTTTACAGTTCTCTTGTGTAATAAGGACTTTTTTTAAACAAACATTACGTTTCTTACCTTGCATATTGAAATTAGATTGCTTACTCCCAGTTCTTTCACAAATGTTGAACAAAATTCAGGCTCTGCCATGCAATGCTCCACTCTGTAAGAAAAACCCTCACTAAGTATTGCCACATCAGAATGTGAAAAAAGCCCTGACCAAGAGCCACCACCATGTTAGAGTATTTTCCCGGCAAGTTGCCTGTTGGGCCAGCCAAAGTTGTTCACTTTTAAGGGTGAAAAGTAGAAAAGAGTAGTATGAACTGGTTTATTCCAAATAGCTATTAAACAAATTCAGTTATAGTCAGAGGTGTCAGCTGTCTCTTTGCCCCACCCCCCTCCTGATAACCTAGCGGCCCATTGGGAAGGGGAGGGGGGTGGGGGTGGGTTGAAGAGATGTCTGACACTTAAGGCTAATGGTGATAACATAACCCAGGTAGTAGATGGGGTGTACCACCAAGTTCCTGACCCTGTTTAATGAAAAAAAACCCCTTCATTTTGCTACCTTTTTTTTCATGAACCTTATTCATTCCCCTTGAAATAGAGAATTACATGTTATTTCAAAGTGACAACATTGAATTAGATTCTGAGAAATATTGTTCATGCCACACATGTAGACTGTGCACCTTCAACATTTACACCCTGTTCCAAGGTTCCTGGTCCAGAAAGACATGTGTTACTCTGTTCAAAACTCAGCAGAACCCCAAAAAGCATACCCTGTTTTGTTGCACATACCTGTTTAGGCCAAAAAAGGAGCTGCCCCCCCTCCCAGGGGGGGGAATAGTTACCTGTGCATTGCAAGTGCCTCATCAATTTGGTTTCTAACATAGATCAGGTTAACTGCATCATACTAAGTAAGAAAAATCAAGGGAGGATTTACTGTTAGTGTACTTGAATCCCATCATTAGAAAAATCCCGGGATCTTACTTTCAATGGAGAAATGAATTACTGGAAGAGGGTGTGGAACAGCAGATACATTTTCTTTTCACCTGCCACTAAAAAGTACGATGTACTGACTTACACTTAGAAGGGGGATATTATTCAAAGGGAGGTACAAATTTGAAGAGTTGTACAATTCAAAATTCTTTCTCAACAAGTGAACATTGAAATATTAAAAATAGAAATAACATGTTGTAGAAACCTAAAAATTTACCCTTCCAAAATCCTAATGAAAAATGATTGTTGTACTGTTATTTAGAACTGAGATTTTGTAGCACTTGAAAATATGTAGATTTTAATCATGCTAGTTAAAAGGGGGTTGTCATTTGAATTTTGTGTATGTTCAAGCAAAATTTCACAGCCTTATTCTAAAATTATTTGGGCCTCAGTACAGTTGTGTTAACAAGTCTACCAAAGACAACAGATCAAGGTTAATCAAAACACATAATTGTGCCAAAGTTTATGCCTTCTGTGAGAGTAATTTCGGTGACAAAATAACTAACAGTAACAATAACAACAGTAACTAACAGTAACAAAACTTATTTTAAAAGAAAATATTCTTATGCAGTGTCGAAAATTAAAATGGGATAATTTATATGCCAGGATAACTATATTTTGCTTTCACTATGTTAACCATGGCAACAAACTTAACAAACAGTGTACTGTATAAAGAATAGTTCATGGAAAGTCCACATGTGTGTAAGCGAGGGAGTGCTGCAAGGTGGAAAACTTGGCACAAAACTCACACACCAATGTGGCTTTTGATTGGACTTATCATTTTCTCACATGGGAAAAAACATTAGGGCCATTTATACGGGGAAAAATAAGACACATCTTACATAGGACGCGTCTTAAATAAGACACGAACTGTACCATTTATACAAGCATGTCTTATCTAATAAGACACGTCTTAATTAGCTAAGCTGCGTCTTATTTTAGATGAAATGTGCCGTTTATACGGAAAGTTCGCGTCTTATTTTTCCTCGTATAAATGGCCCTATTGTTTGCGATTCTGATTGGATGTGTTTTTTTTTTTCATGAGTGAAAAACAGTTTGTGCGCTTCAAGTAACGGAGGGAAGAGAGCTTGCATTTTACTTAGATCAGTGGTAGGAGAGCCTGATGAACTTTGATATGAGCAAAATAAATATGAAATTCAGTAAATAGATTAAGTCGATAAGGAAACAAACCTTATATTCAAATAAAAACCTTACAACCATAGTCTACAAAATTAAAATAATTCTAAAAANCAACATTTTTTCTACAGTCATTATTATGGGGTAAAAGCAAAAATATCATGTATGTCACAGTGTCCTCTAATCTCACCTCAGTATCAATTCTCAGTCCACAGGCACAAAAAATGATCTGTTTGTTCTGGTGTAATGGATTCCTGATAACAAAGGGAAACAGATACAAAAACAAAAAATAAAACATATTCACTTGTCCAGCTCAACACTTGATGATTCTGCAAAAATTTACAACCAGTTTTATGTTACTGATACTATATGAAACATTTAGGTAAACTTGTAATAATCTACTGATAAAACAAATCAATAGTGATCGGTTCATAGATTGATGCTACCAACCTCCTGCAGACTGGACAAATCACATCATCAGTTCTAAGACATTCAATGGCTGCACAAAGTGAGGCTTCTTCAAACTTGAGGTTTTCTTCATACTGAGCAAGAATGTTTCGCTCTGTGATCAGGCAAAGAAGTAAGTATTATCCTAAACAAATGACAGGGTTCACCGAGCAGTTTTGTATGTAAGTGCATACAAGGGAAGATTTGTGGGGATTACCTTTGCAGCTCATTGGAAAGAGTTCGCTCAGATATAATTCAGGCACGTTTTTGAGTATGACATCAAGTATAAGAAGGCAAAGCCGTTGGTCCCTCCTCATGGCTAAATTATTCCACACGAGAAATTTAAGGAGATCTGCTGATCTCGTTTCATACACCCGTGAGGTAATTATGTGGGCTGACCTGTTTTGGTATTTCTGAATTTTGCTTGCTAGCCCTTTATTCAGGCTACCCCAGACAGCATTACAGTGGTCAAAAACAGGCTCAATTAAAGAACCGTAAATTGTTTTCAGTACATCTTGTGAAAAAAAATCTTGCGCTTGCCTAAGACCACTTATGGTAGTATGTAAGATATACATGTAACATGATACACGTAAGATTCAATGTGCAAGTAGTTTAGAATCTATCATGAGTTCTGACCTTCATCCATTAACTCCTTTTGTATCTCATCCATTACGGAAAGAATCTCATCAAGCGAGGTATCCTCAGGACCATCTACATCAATCTGAAAAATAATGTCACATTTTTGACTTGTCAGAATCAAGACTGGGTATAGACCATCTCACATAACGTCACTATTACCATGCTGATGTCACAAACCAGTCTTAAAATATTGCTTGTGGGAGCTGATTTAAGAATTATTGTAAATGTCTTCTGTTACAATAAAATTAATTTGCATGGCTCGATAATAGCCACTTTTGTTGCAAACCTCTTGAATTTCCGGTAAAATCTGGTACAATAACACAAATGTTGACAGATACCTTAATTAGGGGGCGGCAGACGACTCGTGAAGTACATGTATCAGGCGTTTCTTTTTTTTCCCATTTCCCCGAAAAAAAAAAAAGCCTGATCGCAGGTTAACACGATTTAAAACTAGGTATACCTATCGATAGAGTGCCAACGAGCAAATCATGCTTATTTTGCTTAGGAGTAAAATTCCTTTTTTTCCCATTTGACCATTTCTTGGTCCCTTCGTGTTGCAAGGATTATTTTCTTGAAAAGTTCTCAGATTCAGTATGGTGGCTTTACAAACCTGCTATGTAAAATTGTGAAGTGCCTTGAAAGAATAAAGTCAGCTTTGCAGAGGAAGCGATCGGGAAAATTATTAAGTCCAGCTACAAATCTACTGTCGGTTCGGTTTCACATTGTTGATAAATATTTGCACAGTTTAATCATTTACACCTCCTTTCAAATTTCCCGAGTCTTTTTGTTATCGGATTGAAACTTAAAATGATTCGCTGGGCCATCTGAAATGTTTCCAAGGACAAGCGATGTACGGCACGTCGGTATTTAATTTTAGTTCATTATTTTTATACTGAACTCGGCCACGTTTCGAAAAAAATGGCGTTGTTTTCTTTTCCTTTGTCGTTTGCTTTAGGCTTGTAATTCGTTTTTGTTCTCATTGTTTTTGTTTGCTGGTTAGATTTTTTCCCCAACACCAGATTTTCCAACAGAAGCGACTGCATTCTTCGTGTCAAGCTTTCCTTATCTCCTCGTGTAATCTGATCCTTTTTAGTGGTGAGAATATTGCTTGCTGCACATAGAACACTTTTGCTGTTTTACAAACTTCTTTTCGTTAAAATTTAACATTATGGCCCCTAAAATTAATAGAATATATCAAGTGCTCATGTCTCTTGACTGCGGTGGCCGGGTTTAACGAAAAAATTTAGGTAAAGAAACACAGGAAGTCGCGACGGTGTGAAGTGTGTGAAATTTTGTTTGCTATTCAACTTGAGCCCGTGCGCCAGGTACTGCCTTTTGATTGGTTCACAACTGACCACTTGGTCTCAGGGGAATCTACATTACATTGGGTTACACTTTTTTCAGCTCGATCGAGAATTTTTCTGCCTATTGCCCAGTCTTGCGCGGCTCTATTCTGCTGCCGCCTCGCCATCCGAGCGTCTTCGCTCAGATGGCTCGTTGGCAATAAGGCATAGTGTATTGTCTTAAAAAGGGGGAAAAGAAAAGACATTAGCATTTGAAGGGCTCAGCAGCAGCATCCTACCCAAGCTTAAGTGCACTTCCCTCTTTAATACCCGCCCCCCGCCCCCCGCCCCCCTTCCCTCCCAGTAGGGCAATTAGTTAGAAGAGGAGCTCGAGACTGGTTATGAAAGCCAGTAAATACCAAAGTTGAAAACAACAGTGCTGCAGTTTATGTTGGAAGCTCCCTGACCATGCAAAATCCTTTGTTTTTTGTTCACAAATTGTGACTGGATAAATTAATGCAAATTATGTTCCTATTGGTGAGAAATTTCAAAATGATAGGAATGCTGTGCATGGTCAGGTCTAAAAAAGCTAACAAAAACATATAACAAAGGAGTCTAACGGGTTTGATAACCATTGCACTTAACTAACTATGAACGGGACCAGTCCTCGATCAAGAAGAAGAAAAAAGGAGGCTCTGCTCAGCTGGCAGGGTGAGTCAGTGTCATGTGATATATCAAGCATGAGACGCAGTGCGGCGCATCATATTTTCAACTCTCTTCTTGGTGTTTCATCTGGTGATGAAACACTGTATCGAAGGCTTGAAATTACTTCTCAAACGAAATGATTTTAGAAGGAGAAATTGAGGAAGCAAAAATGGGCAGTTTTTCATCTGAATTCCAAACACTCATTAAACATTAATCTCATTTGTATTTTCTTTGTGAATTATTAATGAGTTTGAGAAGTCATTTTTCAAGCCAGTGAATTCATGTTACTGTAACACCCATTTTCGTGTTGACAAGTCCGTCCTCACCCCAGCAAAAGGTGTGCATGACTGTCTACTTGGGCGCCACAGAGGAAGCTCACTATTCTCCTCACTAAGTCTCAACCATTCTTCATTCATCACTTCGTTCACCATGGAGGAGTGATCAGTCTTACTGCCTTGCCTGAACCGGTCCACACATCTCTGTCTTCCATTTTTGAGTCTGTCCAAGCATCTCTTTGAAAACAGCAACAATATAACAAGTCATGACTATTTCACTTCATCAAGGCATTACTGGACAAAGACACATAAACTAATTTAGCTTAATTAAGAGTCATATCGGACACACTTCCAATTGTTGCACTGTACGTTCCTGTTTCGCTTCACATAAAATACACGCAGACAAATAACTATGGCATATGACCTTGAAATACCTTTCTGTATTGTTCTTTCCACGGTGGTGTGCTACACTTGTACTGCGAACGGTGTCGAGAAATAGGATCTGGACTTTTTGGAAAGCAATCCGCCATTGTCGCCATGTTTTTCTTCTTCCCGCGAAGGACACTGCAGTTTTAAAACTTCTTCTGATTGAGCAAAAATGTAAACCAATCAAATGAAGTGTTTTATTGTGACATAATGCAACCATTGCGCATGACGCCAAGTTGGCGATCAAAAACAAAGATGGCGGCTTCATCGTTCGTTTCTATGAGAAATTTTTGGAAAGAATTTTCGCTTCCAGAGCTTCAGGTAAGTGATCAAAGTAGATTTTTTCAGATATTGCTGTCAAGATTGTGCTATATTCTTGAAAAGGATAATGGAAATGCATGCTGTGTGTTAGGTTTGAGGATGTGCACGATTTATTCATGGTAGTCTGCAGTTTGTAAATAAGTTCTCTTGTAATCGATAGAAATCGTTAGATACAACCGCAGCAGAGCTTGCAGAGCGCCAAGATGGATCAGATATTTCTAGAAAGAAGCTTGTTGAGCTTAGCCGTGATTTTAAAAAGAATACACCCGAGGTAACACAAATTTTAGTTACGTTTATAAATTTCGTAGTAATTTATTTATGTATTTATTCATCTGTACCTGGAAAAAAAATTGTTTTAAGATATTGTGAAAAACAGTTGAATTACGTATGCTGCCTCATTCCCAGAATCCTGACATTCATTGACAAACCGTTGTTAATTAAAAGGGTTTGTTTAGTGCAAGGGTATAATAAGCAATATGGAGATGAACCCTTACTTCCTGAGATGCATATTTTATCATGCCAATTCTCACAGATTATCCAGGAGTCTCCCAAATTCGGCACTAATCTCCTCCTCTCCCATATGGGTCACCAAATTTCCTTGTTAAAAAAAGACTGCTTTATTTGGGAATATAGCGATTGTTTTCCCAAATTATAAACACAAGGCAACTGTTTTGAGAGGAAACAAGGCATTAGCCAAGCCAGCCCGGTAAAGCAGTCCAGCCTGGCTAACTGGGCTGGCTCACCTGATATAAACAGGCCCTTAAAACATTATGCAGCTGTCATTTAAAACCCTCAGAAAATTACGGCTATTTGAAGACTTTACAACTTGAAGTCACAAAATGCGAGAGAGCAAAACATTTCAAATCATATTTAAAGTCTTCTGGAGGCTCTGCAGGCTTTAAATGACTGGTGCATTAAGGAGAACCCTTTGCTTGTGAAAAATACTTAAAGTTACCAGGAACTGCAAATCCCAGGATGTATCTGATTAACAATCAAACTTAACACTATGGATTTTGCATGTGTTTCAATTTTTGCAGGAAATCAGGAAAAAAGTTTCACCACTTTTAAAGAGCTTCCAAGCTGAGGTTATAATCATATAACTTTCTTTACAAGCTTATAATTATTGCACACTTAAATTGCAAATTCTTGTTTTATTGAGTTCTAATAAAACATAGGTTTACATGGATGTTCAGTTGAATGGTAGTGAATAAACAGTGAGAACACCAAGTTTATTTTCAATTGAGTGATCACAACAGACTCAAAAATGTAAGAAAAAAAAGACATGAAATTCTCAGAATTTGCTTGATGCCAACAAAGAGAGCAATTTAGTGAACAACAGCTAAAGTTATTTGATTTTCTCTTATTTCTTAAACTAACTGGTTGTTAAAAATTCTGTAGCAAAAACTTTTAGCCATGAATATAGCTACAATTTGTTTTCCCAGATGAAAATTAATAATTATATATTTGAGCCATTCATTTGAAAACTAACCTTTTACTGATTTTACTATTTCCCTCCTATTTAGATTGATGCCCTTTCGAAAAGAAGCAAAGCATCTGAGACTGCCTTTCTTTCAATTTACAAGAAACTGGTAGATGTCCCAGGTAAAGTGAGTTATTACTTATCAGAAGATTGTGTGAACTGTTTTCATCATGATTGTACAGCATTACAGCAGCTTTCTGTATTTTATTGTATTTCTTTCCTTTTTTAACATGCAATTAAATATCACCTTTGTCTAATGTCTTGTCCTGCCTAGATTAGCGTGATAGCTATTTGCGGGGCATACAGTATGCTGTTGTTAATAAATTATACATTGTTGTTGTTGTTGACCTTCCATCTGTTATGGCTAACAGAAAGGAATGAGGGTAGATATAATTTTAACTTTTTTTTCTTTACCAAAATAAGTATTTTGTATGTTTTTTTGAATTTTTTCAGATCCATTACCACTACTTGAGCAGTCTGTCATTCAACAACAAAAAGTTGCTAAACTTCAGGTATCTTGTTTGAGTGTTCTTTGTATATGGAGAACCATGGCCAGTCGAACTCCTCAATGATGGCCTTATATTGATTTTTAATTACTACGTTGTTTTTATCAGTTATAAGATACAACTAACATACACTGAACCTTTTACAACTGTAGCAGAAGAGAGCCTTGTAGATTTCTTGTTTTCACCTGAAAATGGAAAACTACTTCATTTGTCCATTTAAATCTGTCTGTACACTGGTACATGTAACCAGTTTATCAGTTATTCTGGATGGGGTGTATGTTAGTGTACAGTGTACATGTAATCTTGAGGGTACACAAGTTTCAATAAGTTGTTGTCTACATCCCGTTAACTGTATATTGTTTATAACTAGAAAATAATTTGAAACAATACCTTTCTATTAAATTTTCAGTCCAGCAGTTACTTGTTTCTACTTTATTAGCAGAAGATGTGAAATATTACTTTCATGATTTGTTTGTCTGTAGGACTATGAGATTGAAAATAAACAGCTAAGAGAAACATTAGATGAATATAATACAGAATTTGCTGAGGTGAAAAATCAAGGTAATATTCTTTTTTTAATAACTGGTGTAAAAAGTGATAAATTTTGTACAAGTAATTATATTTTCAATCCATAGCTTTTCAGTTGAATGATCATAGATAACTTTCATGTGGTTTATTTTGCCTGATAGAGGTGACTATTAACAGACTGAAAGAGAAGCTAAGAGAATATGAGGAGAAAATCGAAGACAGAGTACAGGTAATGTATGAGTACCAGTATTTTGGTAAAGCTAGTAAATGTGAAATACTCTTTTTGACTACACTGGGCTTAACCTTTTACACAAAGGTTCTGTTTTGTAGAGGGGTTTTGGGTGTGAAATATGGTGATCAACCATTAATTTTGGATTGAGGAGCCCTAAAAATTACGAAGAGCTCTATAGTTAATAATTGCAGTGGCTCCTAGACCTGCCAATAATGGTAGCTCTTAATTGGCTAGAAGAATTTAGAAAAGTGCTTCAGCAAAGGAATGTAACTGCTAACAGAAGGAATTTACTTGAATATTCATCATAATCATTCTTATTATATATACATACATGTACATACATACATAGGGGTTTTCAGTGACATATTATCAGACATCTATTAAATGTAAATTGTAGGCACGAGTGAAAGAAAAGGAGAAAGACATACAAAAGATGTTTTCTGATAAAGAGAGGGCACTGCAAGAAAAGCAGGTTTCTGTGGCTAAAAAGCTGGGAGAAGCAGAGCACAAGGCAGTGACTCTCCAGGCTGGTAAGTTTGAACCTTTACAATACTCTCCACAACTTTAACTGAGCATTGTTTATTTCATGTACTTTATTTTTATGTAACATTATTTTATTCAGTGATAGTGTTGGGCATGTAGTGGAAAGGAATACCAGGACCCGGGTACCAGGATATATGGAAGCCATGCCCTGATTGTACAGTTGTTGTTGTTGTTGTTATCTTAATTAACAGACAGTTTTTTAGTTCTACACCAAGGTACACAGGGTGCAAAGAAAGTCATTTTTAAAGCTTGCCATTCGGGAAAGCTGAAGCTAGCATATACTAGCCCAAATGTCATTTCAACTAGCCCCAAAAACATTTTGATGAGAAGAATTGATTTCACACTACTTCTGTAATTTGAATTCCTCAAAAAATTTCACTTACCCACTGGGCAAGATAAGAACAGAATTCACTAGCGCGATAGCAAAATCCCCTGGGCCCCGGGCTATTGGACACTACCTTCTTTGCACGCTGGTACATAAATGGTCCATACTAATTTTGAGTTGATAGAGGTAACCCTGCTCTCGACTGGTCAACATTATTCTTTTGACTTTCTTCTCTGTATCACTCAGTGTTAATTAACTATGGATTAACATGCAAGCAATAGGTTTTTGAAAAGTTAAAAACCTCACCTGGCCAATAATAATAATGATTACGTTTGAGATGTCCATAGCAACGGTTCACTTTATTCAACACCTGCTTGTTGGACTTGACAAAACCAATTCACAAAGAAAAGGTCCTCCAATATGTTTTGATCTCACCTCTGATTTTGATTGTCATTCCAATCTAATAAGGAAATTTTCTGATTTTTTTTAATTTACATTTTTATTCGAAATAAATTTTGATTACCGGTAGTTTTGAGTGCACATCAATAGAAAACTTTAGTACAGTAATAACTGATCTACATGTATATATATTGTTCTTTTTATCATGACACTTAATAAATAACTGTTATTATTGGAGATTTTTCATTGCAAGGATACAAAAGGTATCTTTTTCATTCTCAGCCTCTCCATATTCTGCAAAAGAACCTCTGTAGGCTCTTAAAACCTTAGGTAGAAGGTTATTAGAGTTTAACTGTGTAACAACTACACTAAAACATTGAAATGGTCTTTTCAGTGGGTAAATTTGTTTATTTTACAGCACTGGACAGTACTCAGTCAGAACTGTTTGATGTTAAAGCCAAGTTTGATGAAATGGCTGCCGCGAGGTACTGTAGTTTAGTGCCCTAGTAACAGTTTACTTCTATTTAATAGCTAGCTTTTTGATTAGTGATTGTCATAAATAACAATTTCTGTTTCAAACCAAAGTATATGTACCAGTAATAAAAGTGGTTTTAGTCTGATATATAGATGCATTCAGGGGGGGTGAGGAGGGATCTTGATTTGCCTCCATTGTTCTGTGAGTTACAGTGTTCAATGTGTCTTGAGATACCTTTGTGCAGCACTTGTATGTTTTTATCTCATTTTGTTTTTAGGTCTTCAGAGATTGAAATTTTGGAAGCAGATGTAGAAAGGGCAAATCA